ATCAATTGATAAACAACAGAAACAGTCGACGGCAGCAGAAAATGTCCAGTTTTTCACAGCTATTGTTATTTTCCAGCAGTATACGTTGTGTCTTTTATTTAAGATTTTGCTTATATTTTAAAATAAGTGGAATTTTCTTTTTATTTATTTTTTACTATTTTAATATGTTTTTTTTTTTTTGTAAATATGTATAAATATAAATAGGTTTTTGATAATAATTTAATTCTGTGAGATGATCTTTTCGAACTTTCCCTAGCTATCTATTCAACTCTCTTACAGGTGGATTTATATTCTGATCTTATTAGCAGTCATCTAAAGTCTGCTTCTAATATATCTATTGATTATTCTTACTATCCCTCTGTTATTTTGAATCTGTATGGTTTAGTTTCATGAATTGATTAAAAATCAGATCTTCAGTCAATCAAATTGTTTCATTATTCATCAGTATTTAAGAAATAAATGCTGTATTCAGTTACATCTTGAATTGTGCAATGATGAATCAAAGTCCGTTTAAAAATGATATAATATATTTTTATGTTTTTAGTAATTTAAACTTTTTTAAATGGAGTGCCTTAGTCTATCCATTATCAATTACTGTACTCTGCAGTCAATCAATCAACCTTTTCATCAATCTATTTCTTTGAAGTTTTACATTTTCAACTCAATTATCAAGCTATTTGAGCATGGAGCTCTAAAGTCACTCAGTCGATGTGTTAATTATGAAGCAGTCAGTCCGTGAATCAATTAATTTGTGCTGTCCGTTATACGTCTATTGATTCCTTTGCAAATTTTTCAGCTAATTATCGTGGTGTGTGGCGTGGAGTCCTTCACTGGCTTCAATTGAAAGCCAACACGACATTGCCTTTAGTGTTTGCTGACATTTAATTGGATTTTAATGTGTATGGCAATTAGAACATCCTGTATAGATGGCACAAACATATCATATTTTAGTTCTCTCTCTCTCTATCTGTGTCGCGCTCTTTAAACATCTTGTTCGCTTTAATGAGCTTGTTTGCCGTGGCTGCTCACTATAAAAATGTATAAAATATTGACCGCTGTTCCAGCTGACATGAAAACCATATTAAATGCAATAAATTCACTTAGCGACAACATGAATATACACACAACACACACACACAAACACGCTCTCAGTCGCTGGCACGTAAACGTCGCTGATATTAATGCAATTTTCATGACATTGTTGCGCTGGCAAGTATGCAACAAATAAACAGGCTCCCACACAGAGCCAGAGCCATAGACACTGTGGATAGTAGAGTCGCCCTGTTGTATAACTTAATAGGAATGTTTATTGTCTTCTTCACTCTGTTGTCCCAGTATGAGCCTCTCTCTCGCCTACCTCTTTCTGTCTCTCGTTGCAATAGTAGAAACCTAGACAAAGACAGCAGCTAACAGGACACTATGAAAGGCTATGCAGCACCCAGTTATTAAAGTTGGGGTCAAATCTAAGCTATTAGACTAGAAGCTGCTCTATAAATGTTATATAAAAATATATTAAATATGTTAACTATGTGGAACATCTCCAGCTGTTGAGTTTAAGTTTACATGTAAGGCATATAACTTTAATTTGTAACGTTTGCTTGTGATGTCAAATAGATTTTAGCGAAAATGAAATGTTGCTTACGATAATTATTTTTTAACAGACATTTATCTTTTAATACAGAGGTCTTACCTTGTAAATACAGAATACTTACAGTCTATATAAGAAAATTACATTAACAGAATGTTAAACATTAACAGCTCAGTATAGTTCCCATTATTCATAAGATTATATATCAAGAGTTAAGCCTTTTTGCTTTGACATTTGTGCTTAACAAGATATCAGATACTGGTTAGAGTAGAAAATACTGTTTGCTAGAATTTCAAACTCCGAAAATATATAAAAGAAATATATAAAAAAAGTAACCAATTTAATATATTTCATTGTGAGCCAAGGATATTTTTATTGCTTTCCAATAATGAACTAGATCTCAGCACCCACTCTCACGCACACACCTTATCACTGCCTGCATGCAGGGTATAACATGCACAGAGGCGGACTTAGCTCTCCCGCCGTAGCATGCATAGCGAACATAAAAGCGGCGGTGAGAGCACAAAGCGAAAGCCTTATCGATTTAATTAATTTTTTTCGGCTGCCTTATTGGATTTGAGTGCCTTCAAATTTAAAGTGCAATGCAAGAACAGGCAGGTGTTGTCAAGCTAACAGACTGAGTTGCTAGCGGACTGGCTGACTGACAACGATTGACTGATTGAGTACATGCATGCTCGTGTTATGCTGAGTAGCCTACTTCGAGGTGTCAAACTGTCTGACACACTCCAAATACAAAAACCTACACGAAATGTATTAAATTACATATGAATTTAGCTATAAATATGACATGGATATAGGCCAAATACGACAACAATCAATTTGAACAGCCATCAATCAATCAATCAATCAATCAGTCAGGCTGCCTTCCAGCCTGCCAGGCTGTAGCAGGCCCATTTCCAACCAACAGCTCATTAGACAACGCCCATGACTCAGCGCCGCGTCCTGTCCCGTGTGTGTGTCCTGCGTGGGCTGACTCGTTTATCAGGCCAGTATGCGGCACATTTTGCACGTGTCTGCACCTTGTTCAGTGGCCCATTGTCATGTGTGCGACATGGTCATGGCATGCCAGGCTGCTATATCGAATAGAGCCACCCCTAAAACGTTCATCATAAGCGCAACTCACATTTAATTGGCCCCAAACACAACTGGACGGCGACGTATAATTGATATGCTAACTGTAGTAACTATACGAGTTATACAAACAGTATAGTCAAGGCCCCTTGAACAGTTCCCCGGGGCATTGACAAATATGAAAGCATTGAAACTTGTTGGGACTTAGGTAAACTAATTTGATTTCTCAATATACTCTCCACAATCTCAGCTCTCTCTAATGCATTTTTTATGGCCCACCTTAAGGCGGTCAATCGCTTTTGGTGTTTTTTTTATGCGTTTCACTTTCATTTATGCCAGGCTCTGCACGGTGCTATGCTGTTCAGTTTCAGGTTCCGTTATTCGCATGACCCTCGTCAGACAGCAAGTTGGACTCTTAGTTTTAGGCGTGACTCATGACAAAACGCAAACCCAAGTAATTTAATTTAGTTGCCCAAAAAGCCCGGAAAAAAAGCCAAAAACTAGGGAGTTTGTATATTGAGAGAGCGTCGAAGCTGAGATACTTTATTCATTTGTCGAGTGTCAAACAAATATTAATATTACTGTGGTTATTATTATAACTATTAGTCTAACTTTTATGGGTGTTATTATTATTATCAGCGATATCAATATCATTACTAATTTTATTTTTATTATTTTAAATATTAAATATACTTATTATCATACTCATACATACGCATATATAATATCATTATTAATAATATTATATATATATATTATTATTATAAATATAAAATATAATATTCTTAATTTTTATTGCCATGTTTCTCATTATTATTATTCCCTATATCTCTATCATTGATTTTTATTACATGCATTAAGAAAGCTTATCAGAAAAAAGAAAGCATTTTTGGCAATATCTAGCAAAAAGTATCAATTACTTCAGAGTTAAAAGTTACCCACTGAAGTGCATAGCTCCCTAGCCATGTTAACATGCTCTCACCTAGGGTATCGAAAAACAAAATACGACATTCAAAGTGCTTTGGGCGACGGCAATGACGCAACGGGAAACCTTAGAAAATAGGCAGTCAGGCAGGCAGGCAGTGCAAAGTGAGAAGGAAGCAAAAGCAAAAAATATTCACAAAATATTAAGTATACGCCCCCAAGGGCAACCAACAAAAATATTTGTTCTAGCGCCAACAAAAATCGCAAAAGAAATAATAACAACAACAGTTTTTTATTTAGTTGCAGAAATGGGTGGCAATAGCAAAAGTCCAAGCCAAAATATTAGAGTAATTAAAAAGTAATTAATAATATATTTAAGTCAAGCTGAGGTCGCGCTATAATAGCTGCAAATTGCTTGTTAGCCAGGCAGAGATCGCTTTAAAATGCAGCCTACAAATATGGTAAAATAAAAAGCCATAAAAACATCTAGCAACCGGCAGGATGTGCGCCATAATGTGCAATGAGCTGCGGCGGCGACCGATTTTCAACTCATTTCATAGGCGAACGCTTAACGAGCGGAAGTTGTGGCAACTCAGGTGTGTATATGTGTGTGTGCGTGTGTGTGTGTGTTGTGTGCGCTGCATTATTAATGAGAACTTTTTGCCTTGCAAATGCCGCCTTGGCAGATTTGCAAACATCGAACGACGCAGCCAGCACGTGACAGCTTTACTGCAGTGCCACTTACCCAGCGGCAGCTGTGGCAAGTTTCAAGTGGCAAGTAACAAGCAGTTGCCTGCTGCATTTGCAGCATTTGCAATCTTTGCTTAGGTAAATAACATGCGCTCCATTTAAACGTTACGACGCTCAATGATTTCTGAATTTACGTTTGTTCACAATTTTACTAGGTCAGCCGCAGGCAGCAGAAAGCCCGTGCAAAGCCTCATCGAATTTATATATTATGGCTGCCAAGGCTGTAAAACTGCTGATGAAAGATGTAAATAATCTTGAAAATCGATAAAAGAATATAAAAGTGTATAAATCAAACTTAAGCAAACTCTCACGTTTTCACGGATTGAGGCGAAGCATGCTGCTTAAAATACCATCCATTCGAATGGCGTATATATATATATATATATATATATATATATATTTCAATGAATTACACTGATACAGACAAGCTTTACTATTTATAGAACAAACAAATCAAGACACAACATTATTGAAGCAAGAAAGATTGAGAGAGAACGAGAAAGACACGTTCAAGTCCCATTTCGTTCCACTTCTCATTTTCTCTGTCAATATATAATTTATATAATATGTATTCTGATATATATATATATTAATTCCATTTTATAAAAATTATATTCCTTTCAAAGAATTATAAATGTTGCTATTTTGCTGCTCAAGTGCATCCTTCGAGAAAGGCGCAAATGCAACAAGGAGAAAAAGCGCATGTCAAATGCCATTCAATTGTTGCGTATTTTCTTTTCAAAGTAAAAGTAACAATAGCTTACGTGCTAACAATACTTATCAGACAGATCACAAGACAACTTACATCTACTTAGATAAACGAAAAAGACGAGAGCGTGATGGAAGGCAGAAACCTTCAACGGGTTTGTGTGCGACAAAATCACGCGCCCTCACATAAATCTCATGTTAATGGAGACTGGGGGCACAATCAACATTTTGTCACGTCAATGCAATGTTGTTGCTCAGCGTGTTGTTGTCATCTTCCAGCTGCTGCTCCAGCTCCTGCTTCTGTTGCAGTTGTGCAGACTCCCTGAAGGCATTCACTGGCATTTTGTAGGTGATGGGCAGCTGAGGTATTGACGACGACGGCTGACTCAGCCGTCCAAATGGCTTGGCATCGTTCGTCTCCAAAAAGAAATTGCCGCGCAGTCTGTCAAATATGATATGGTTAGCTGTGTTGTGCTGGCTGCACTATAATTTATATCGATTGCTCACCTTGGATCAGCACCGTAGCCCATGTAGGCACGTCCGTTGCCATCTCGACAGATGCCAAAGTGTTGCGAGGGCTCACACCGCTCGACGGGGAAGGCCAGCGGGTGACGGATGCTCTCTACAAAGTACTCCCAGGCGCGTTGATGGCTGCAGCCAACTGCAACGAAATGAAACATTGAAGCAAGTGTGTACCCCGCTGCAAGATACTCTGTTTACAAAGTTTCGCTTGGCTTACGCATTATCAGAAGCTTAACTGACTGAATTGAGGAAGCTTTAGGAGTGTTTTTCTTGCTATTGCTCAGTCAGAGAGAGGATAAAATTACATAGACAATATGCTTCTATTACCATTCGAGAACAGAGTATGGAAACTTAAAGAAACCCAGAAAATTATATGCAGGTCTTCTTTAAGTTTACCAAGTTTCAAGGGCTTGGCTGAAATTATCATTAGTCAAAGATGAGGCTCTATGGTCCGAAAGATGAATCTCTTTCTAGCTAGATGAACTTCATAAAATCTTATTTTACAAAGTATAGAAAGAACTTTAGCTTCACTTCCAAAAATCACATAGTCTAGCTATATAAACTCGAGTTAAACAAATAATATAGCATGAGCGGATGGACCTCAATCAACATACCATAATTTGCATATCGAAAATTACTTCTCAATTCTCTGTCTGCTTGGCAAATAGCTAGTTATAAGCACTTAGCCCTCAGCCTATATTTCCCATAGTCTTTTTGTAAACAGAGTATCTAGCTACATCAAGCTAAGGTTCCGGCAGCTTACTGATGATGTTCAGCCAGCGATTATTGGCGATTTCCTGCTTCGCACAGCCCGGCTGCAGAGGACGTCCGCCGTTCGGATAGAAGTCAGCATGTCCCATGGCTTTCGGATTGCCCAATATGCCGCCATCCGTGTGTATTACATCCACAAAACGTGCATCGCTTGAGCTGAGGCGACGATTGGAGCTGTTGCCCTCGAACAGTGGCAGTGCTGGATCCAGGGCCGTTATTCTGGTGAGCTTGATGCCCCACTCCTGCAGCTGTTTGCCGGCAAAGCCGGCTACCTCGGCACCCAAGCTAAACCCGATCAGATGTATATGCTTTACAGCATAGCCACTACTGACGAGATAGCGCAGAAATCGGGCCAGATAGCGCGCGGCAATAGGCAGATTCTCTACGGCGCTGGAGTACCAGGGCACAGCCACCATGGCGCTCCAATCAACGAGTATCACATTGTAATTGCCACGTCGCAAAAACGCTAAGGAACAGAATGGAAAAGGGTATGAGTTGCTATATGGACAGACCCTGGAGAGATTGAGTTACCATCCTTTAGCTCCTGACTGCTCTGCTTCTCCCCGTTGGCAGACTCTGAGAAGCCATGCAGATAGATGGCCAGCGGGTAATTGAAATTGAAATTGCTTCGCGCCAGTCGCCCATCGTCGCTCAACTGTAGCTGCTGGGCCGCGTTGCGGTTTTTCCTGCAAGTTGCCCAAATGACCTTTCAATATGCATGAGCCAAGCGAATACTGCCCAACCCCAAAAACTCACCTGGTGTAAAGCAGAAACTTGATGTCCTCGCGTTCGCGTATGGCACAGCAGTTGCTGCAGCTGCCACGCGGTGCTGCACTGTAGAAGATGGGAGAGCCGGCTGCAAATTGAGAGAGAGATAAATATAATACTTCCATTAAAAATATCTACAATTTTTTTATGATGCTATTTGAGCTTCTAATGCCAAGGCTTTATATATAATTGCATCGAGAATGATTTAGTCAAGAGCATCTGACTAGAAGTTAGCCCTGAAGATGCGAAAGCTAGTTGCAAAGACAAAGAGAGGAAGAGAGATAGCGAGCGAAGAGAAGTCAAGTGAGGCAAACTAATTGCTCGATACTCTGGTTAAAACATTTGTTGATTTTATGAAAACATATTTTCAATCCAATCTTCAACAATGATATCTGAAATAAAGACTATAGAAAAAAAATTTTAAATTTGTTATTCTTAATACTCAAAGTTTTCGACATGATGTAGTTCGAATATGCTTTCGCTTATTGGCTGAATACCGTTGGCGAAAACTCTCTTCACACATTTTTTGTATGACTTCAGGTTGTACAAAGCCGATCATTACAACAAGCTAATATACCCATTCTGTCCAGTTAAACATCGTATCATAACAATAATGAACAGCAAAGTTTCGATTTCAAATTTGCAATTTGGCATGTGAAAAATGCAAGCAATTATTTGGAATCAACTAATTGAATTATTAAGTGGCTAATGAGACAGCAAAGTCAACAACAACAGCAACGGTCATAACAACAAACAAACAATAGCCACAACAACATAAAACTTGGCCGAAACGAAACCAGCCAAGCGAGGCGCTAGTCAAGTTAACCGTGAACTTGAATCTTACATTACGATGTTGAGCGAACTAGCATAATAAAAAAGACAACGACAGCGAAAACGACAACGACAGTAACAATCACAGCAACCACAATAACAACCACAACATTGCCAGCTGGAACGACAACAACAACTACAATAAGACAGAAGCAGCACGTGACGCATACGCCGTGTATTACGTCTTAGCATAGCCAAATCTTACAAGCGAGTACCGAGATGCTTACAGAGTGACAAGCAAATTTTAGTAATGTGACAACGCATGCATACCCTGTAAAATATACTTTATTCAATTATATACTGCTTACAATTAAGATTTGTGAGAGGCTTTCTAGCTGTTTTAAGGAGGGAAAAAGTATTGCAGGCAGTTCCCCTTAGAAATTGATAAAATGCTGAAGAGAAGTCAAAAATTTAATGTCAGACCTAAAAGACAATTTAAGAGAGTAACTAAGCTATTGATGGAGCAAATTTAAAACTTATTAAACTGTTAAAGTTCTGATGAATCTACCAAGACAAACTCAAATTTAATTTATACAACTTTAATCTGTGCGTTACCAACATTCTGTAATAGTCAACATGCCCAAAAAAACGGCAGTCAAACTAGTTTATTTATCAAGTATTTTTAATCAATAGCTCAATGTTTGCTGAGATGTTGTAATGAGGGCGTGGCAGTGGGTCAACAACAACAACTACAGCAAAAGCACAGCCAAACGCAATGTCAATGGCATCGCATTCGCATATTTCTTCGCTTTTGTTTTGATTCACAAATTTATCGTTATTTGTGCATTGAATGCATTCGATTAAGCGCCAATAATGAAACGTTATAATCATGACCTTCGACAAGGTCGATTGAGTTAGCAGACTTGGCTAAGCGATTCGATTTTGTAGACTCGATTTTATGTATGTAGTTTAGACTTAACTTGTCTTTATGTAAATTAATGAGCAGTTTTTTCTCTCTCTGCTTTTAGCGGAAGACTTTTGTGACTTTTATAGATATACGTATATAAATATATATATATATATACATTATCTTGAATTTGTTTTGTTTTGTTTCGCATTCGTATTTGCTTCCACGTTTTGGCGTGCATTTTATTTAATTTCACATTTAAATATTACAGACTTTTTGTAGCTCGTTTAAATCTTTTTTATTTGTTTTGCTCATGTTGTCAGTCAGCTAATTATCAACCTTATGCCTCACTTACGCTTCTCATTGTTGTTACAGTATGAATAATCACGGCAGTTATGTTTTAGTTCTAGATTTGGTGTGATATATTCTTGGCTGACATTGTGTTTCGACAGCTATAAAAATGTCTCCACATAATGGCCCAAGGGATGCCCAACTGTCATAAAAATTTGACTAATTGGGGGCTTTTTAATTTAAGAAGCATATAAATCACCGTTAAGCTGAGTTCTTCCCATTACTTGTCCAATGAGCTATTAGGGAAAATATATATGAATGTATTGAGCAAAGTTCGCAAAGTTTTTTGAAAGTTAACATTTTGAATTAGAATTTAAAAAAAGAAAAACGTGTTTGCCAGGATAAAAATTGAGTACTATAATAATAGACAAATTTAATATAGAGACTGCGCGAGACTCTTACTAAGACCATGCTGAAAAACCTTTAGTGCTCCGTTTTATCGTATTTAAATTAGTTCTATGGATAGTTTAAAATAATTCAACATTGGGGATTGGCTTTACACAGACATTTCTTGTCATCACTTTTTCAAACGTTATGTGTTTAAGATATTCAGCTTACTATATTAATTATAGATCTTAGTCATTACGGTAACGTTTAACTAATACAAACATTTCATATAGTTAAGATGATATTGATAAGATTATATTGTAAATAATATCGTCACAACTTTAATGAGACTTAAGTATAGTTCCTTATTTTTAATATATTAAAAATAAATCATTCAAATGTTTATTAATGCTTAGATTAGTCATTAGCAACTTAAGATAATTTAAAAACAAAACAAATTAAATAAGTTTTAGTGTTGAATATATATTTAATAATATATAATAAATCTGTCTTCTCGGACATGACAGCTTAAGTTTTGATAATCACTTAATTAAATCATAATCATCAAGCCAAAATAGTCGACAATATATAAATATATACACATATTTATATAAAGCTCAACTAAATTATGATAAATCTGTAGAGTCTTAAGGAATAGTGCAAATACCTTGGCCGCTTTTAATACACTTTTGCTTTCAGTTAGCAACAACAACTAAGCGCTGTTCAGTCAACCTTAACCAAACATAAATAATTTTTGGTAATATTGCCGCCAGCTGTACACATCTATATATTACACATATCTCCCACACAATTGAGCTATTAGAAGCCTTGACTTTATTTACAAGTTAGTGCGGATCCGATGAGCCATTGTTGTTTATTGGCTGCCCGGTGGCATAGGCGGCCTTCTTTCACAGCTGAGTAAACCCACAAATAAGCCCAAACAAATGTAAGCAACACATATCAATGCACACACACACACACATACACACTAGACTTTTATCTACACACATGCTATTTATAAAGTACATAGTATTTACAATCTATACCACCTTGAACTTATGCACAAAAAATATTGTGTCTAAAAGCAAGAGCAAACAGTTCCATACAAAGAACAACAGAAGAGGGAGTTTACTTACAGAGCTGATATCTTTAAATACGTATCTAGTTTTGGCTCTGCTAATGCGTTAAGAATACATTGGGGAACTTACCCAGCAGAAATGTAAAGACATTGCACAATGTTGAGGCAGTTGGCAATACCATCGCAAAATTTATGCGTATGTTTTATGATTTTGTTCAGATATATATTCGAATTTTTAGTTTGTCAGCGGGGCCAAGCGATTTGTGAGCGATCAATGAACTTGGGACATGCTCATCCACGAAATTTCACACTCTGTGAACTATTTGAATTTGTTTTATTTAACGGCTGCTTCCGCATTGACAGCCCTGCTATATTAATACGCACACACAAAGGCACACAAGTTATATTTATTTTCAGTTAGCGCCAACAACGCTCCGTTCTGGCCAAGTTTCGTAGATGAACTGAACGCGGCTGGCGACGTTCGTTGTCTAGAAGCTGTTGAGCTCGATTGCTTGAGTTAAGCTCGATTGCTTGTTGTGGCTGGGCCATGCCTGGCTGAGAAATCAATGCGCCCTATGCGAAAAAAATCAAAACAAAAGACTGAGGCAACGAACTTGATCGTCGCAATTTTCATGCCTGTTCCGCCTTCGTCTGTGTCAAATATTTAGATTAGGCAATCACACCCGCGCACACGTTGGAAAAGTCGTTAAATTGTTGTTGAAATTGTTATTTTTTTTAATTTCCTGATGTCGCGCGCCAATAGCTTGCGCCTAGCATACGAAATGAAGCTGCGATGTGGTAGATCGTTGAAATGCTTTTTTGTTTTCTGCACCGTAGACGAACTACGAAAGTTCAGCGCCAAGTTGAAAAGGCTTTAATTTAGCTGACTTCGATGCAGGGACTTCGTTTGGCTGTGATTACACTGAGAAAAAGACCAACCTATTCAATCAATTTAAAGCGTTACTTGGTTATTTGTAATATAATTTAATAAAGATTTGAATTTAAAATTTAATCCAAGACTTCTTAGAAAAACAAAATGAAACTGGTTTGGGATATCTATTGAATATTTGATCTTAATATTACAACTTTTTTCTCGAGTCCCTTATAGGCAAATATATATATATTTGCACTGATTACACGGACAAAAAATTAAATAACTTTTTAAATAAAGAATCATTATTTCGGAGATCTAATTTAGACGTGCTTAGCTCTGATTATACTGACAAAGAAGCTAAAGAACTAAACATTAAAAAAAAATATATACACTGAGAAAAAATAAGGATTTACTATGTCAATTAACTGCACATTCTTGCATTCTTTACAGAGAAACACTTGGGTGATTTTATTCCATTTCTAAAAACGGAATATAGTTTATTGCGGATAAATATTATTATATTCACATTGGAAATTTACTCTTCTTGCTAAAGTCTCTCTGCCAGTGTATCGCATTCAGCCGGCTCACCTTGACCGAATGCTGACTTTTGGTTTCCATTATGCCAATAAGATGCTCTCAGTCTACGCAGCGGATGATGCTTATCGCCTTTCGTTGACCGTAACCAACTACAACAGCAATATTAAAAGCGGTTCTGACCAACCTCTAGCTGCTTCGCCCTCTTCTTCTACTTCTTTTTTGGCTGCTGCTGAGCTTTTGTTGTGGGTCAATTAGCGAGGCGCTGAGTTTTGCATTAATCAATTGGCTCAACATTTTGCTCAAGTTGCGGGCGGATCTGACTATGATTTATGCATAGATTCAATCAGAAACTGAGCTTGACTCCGTGAAGACCAGTAGTCAGGGTCGAAATCTAGAAATAAATACTGGCGACTATAAGTTATGACAGCTGACACCAGCTTATTAGCTATTTGGCATTCGGAAGCACGAGGTTTTACATTGATTGTGGTTTGTAATTCATTGACTAATTGGCCATTGCAATGCCTTGTTTGGCTTTTTCGGCCATGAAAGCCGCCCAAGAGCAAGGCTTTAACCGTGTTCTGGCCCATTGCAAAACCCGATTCGACTGAATGCTTGTTCTTTTACGACTTCCTCGTGCCTTGAAAGGTGAGAAGCTTAAGGGTACATTGCACGCCGATAATTGCAATTGTTTATTTAAATTTACAGTAAGACTACAGTAAGTGCGCTAAAAATAACCAACAGTTATGTCTAGCTGACGCTCAGCCAAAAGCTATAAGCCACTGACTGTTAACAATCAATTCAAATGACAAAAAATGCACATGAAACTGAATAAACGACGATTGAATACACTTTTTCTGTATCAAAAATCAAACTAGGTATAAATCTTTTGAGGGACGCAGCCTAAGTCGGATGAAATATTATAGTATATTATTATAATATATTATATTATATATATTATTATATTGTTATAATATTATTAAATAAATATTATTTTTTTTTAAGTTTTTTGTAATTATTTATTTATATGAAATACTCTTAGGCCACTTAATCTTAACAGAAATTAATTATAATTATTTATATATATATATTTATCTAAAATATAAAAAGAAATGAATTGAATATAGATATTTATATGTCGTCATAAAATATAATATAATTTGAGTAAAAATTATATAATATGTTTACGACTTCACAATTGTATTAATAGTTTTTACATATATACTATAAAAATTCATAGTCTATACAATTTGCTATAAAATATGTATATATGTATAAGCCAATATGAGATATAAAATGTTTTCTTATTATAACCAGTAACTCGCCTGAATAATAAATATATTAGTTAATGCACGCACTGTCTATATCTATATATATATAATATTACGTTGATAAAATATTATATTATACTGCCTACTGCCTATACAAGTCAAAGCACATCCCTACTGTATCGATCATAGTAAACCAAATATGCGCATTTTTATACTTACTTTATGCATATATACAAATTGAGAAATCCGCTTATACTAAGACCTATTTAAGCATTGAAACTAGATCTTAAAGATATATCAATGTCACTCTGTTGTGTTCCCTATTTATAAATATAGTGTATTGTTCGCTCAGGAAATTTTTGAAATAATAATATATTGTGTTTTACACATGAATAAGTACTATTTGAGATTTTGCAGTTAATATTTAATGTCTGACCTGGGAGAAATAATAAAATAACTTTAGTTTATTAATAAGTTTACTATCACTATTCATACGTTTCATGGCCACATAAAAATTTATAGAAAATAAGCTTCTCATCTCATAAGATTTTTGAAGGTACAAATCTACAAATATAACTAAGTCAACCCATTTCCTTATATCAATAAATATTACTCTATATATTTATTCTAGTACTTACTCTTTCGATGTTACATATAGCTCCTTATAAGCATTATACCCCATTTCGCACTCAAGCTATCAAAATATTTGCTGACTCACAAAATTAATGAAAACAAACAGCAAGAAAAAAATGCAATCAAAAAACAACAAAAAACGAAAATTAACAATGCGAAATTTAACAATTCTTAAGTATAAATATGTATAATATACGATTTATGCATAATAATCCAGCCTGAGGTCAAACTCCCACCCCAAAGATAAAAGCTTAAAGATAGAAGACAACAAGAGCAAAAATCGAACTGCGTCATTGGCCAATTTAGTTAATTTAATTATTGATCCGAATCACTGAGATTTGGATATCATATAAATACAGTTAGTCAATGCGTAGTTTGAACAATAAAAAATTAAATTTCAGATATATTGCCCCCAATGAATGCTGTGATTTAGTTTACAGGTGTGTCAAATGCCTTCCGGCAGTAGCCTTGACCAGAGTGTGACATAATTTAGAGTTAAGCAACTGTAAATTGTAATGAAAATAAAAATCTATTTTAATTGTATTTATTTATGTGCAAAAGGAAAAACTTACCACCGCTAATAGCATATTTATAATCTTACTAAATGAAAAAAAAAAGATAATAGGTTTAATGTGACAAAAAGCGATTTATCGCTGCTGTAATTTACTTTGAATATTATTTATAGGCAGGGAAACTTGACATATTTATTTTGGCTCTTACATAAAAAAGAATCTATGATACAACCAGATATGTTTTCACATAACAAAAATTTATTAAGAGTAGAACATAAGAAAATCATATGAAGAACTAAAACTAAAACCTTAACTTATTTCTAACCGAATACTTTTTTTTTATTTCAAGCTATAAAATTTTCCTTTTAATGAATACTACGCAACAGTCATTTGAGAAATTAATACGAAATGGCTTCTCTAGCAACTGATTCTGTAGAAGTCAAAGTTAGGTCGTCAAACATCCATAAATATGTCAAAACTGACATGGAAATATATTTATTCTACTATTTTATCATTGTCTCGATTTCATGTGTTGATGGCAAAAGTGTAGCATACTTTTAGGCAAAACGTAAAAATGTTTTGTATAAACAAGAAGATAATATTTACAAAATATGTGCACTTTTTTGTAGGACAAACTGCTGAGCAAGTTGGAGGAAGAGAGCGAACCGGATCCGCCAACCTCGCAGGAAGATGAATGCGTGATATGCATCAATGCGCGCGCCACAATGCAGACCTCGCCCTGTGGCCATCGCGTCGTCTGCCGTCGCTGCTTTGTGAAGACCATACAAAGTGCCGTGGCACAGCGTTTGCTGCCGCTGCGCTGCGTGATCTGTCGAGCGCGTGTAAATCGGCTGACCTCATCGTCGGGCAGCTGGCGCATACAGGAATCGGCCAGCAGCTATTCCATGGGTGCCAAGAGCTGGGCCTCGGCGGGCGTGCATGCGGGCGGCGTCGTCGCCTCTGCCAGCTCCTATTCGATGAACGATGCGCACAGCGAGCATCACGCGTTCCATCAGCCCACGCTGCACACGGCGGCTGGGGGACGACACCATCATCATCAGTATGGAGCGCCACGTGGCGCTCATGGACGTGTCTCGCAATCGGATAGCTTGTACTCAATGAGCTCGACAGGCTCGGCGGGCTCTACGTTATCGGGCTACTCACACTACTCCAAGACGTCTTCCATATCGAGCAGCGGCGCCTGCTCGCCAGCCTCGCCGGCGGCGTTGGCGCACATAAGTACTCATCACTTGGCGCCGCCATCACCCAACACACACCATCACCATCAGCAGCATCATCATCAACATCAGGTGATTTCACCTTCAGGCTCATCCTCTTGCTCTAGTGTGGGCTCGCTATCGCCTCGCGACTCGGGCGTTCATCACTCGCATCACGGCGGCTGTCCCAGTGGCTGCTCGGGTGCTGTGCCGCGCAAGCCACTGCATACGCTCAGCAACTCTGCCTCTACATCTTCATCAAGCAGTAGCAGTGGCAGTGGCAGCGGCTGCATGACACCCACGCCCACACACACCTATCCAGGCAGGCGGCATGTAAAGAGCCGCATGCTAGATCTGCAGAATCGACTGCCACCCATCAAGGAGTTTCGCAGTCCAGCCAAAGTGCCACATCCCTCGCCGGTGCATGTCAGCAATCCGCGCTTTCGGTGCGTCCCGTACTTAATCACCTGCCAAACAACAAATTAAACACATTTTACTCTCTTCGTCTTGCAGCTATGCCTCATATACGAAGTCCAGCGGCCATGAATTGGCGCCACTGCTGCGTGAGTCGACGTCACCGCCGCCGCCTCGTCGGCCTAGTCCCATGAATATACAGCTCAGCTGCTCGGCTTTAGCGCCGCCCCCGCTTAAGGCAGGAGGCGCCAAGATTTGCCCGCTCAACGCCAAAAACTCGCTGCCTAAAAATGCCTACGTGATGCCCAAGGACAAGAAGCTATCGAATGCTCCACAGCCACCCGCCAGCAGCAAGGGTCAGGTCGCCAAGGCCACAGCAGCAGGCACAGCGGGTGCCGGCGCCGGCGCTTCTTCCTCAGCCAAGTCGGGCAGCAACTGCAGCAAGCCCCACTCAAACGATTCCAATCGCAGTTTTCCGCTCTTCTCCAGCAGTAGCAGCAGCAGCAGCAGTAAGTTGATCGCGATAGATGGCGCCAGTGTGGCGGCAAAAATTAATTAAGTTCCGCTTGACAATTTTGCAGAAGAGAAAGCGGATAACAAGAAAAACGAATCCATGGAGCGCAAGAAGAAGGAGGAGAAGCTCAAGATGAAGGCTGAAAAGGAAGCCAGAAAGGTGAGTACCTCATACCCCCTCTTCCCCTGTCTCTCTCTTTCTCTCTCTCTGCCTCTCTCAGTCTTTCACTTGCTCATTGTGGAGCAGCCGGCTTTATTGTTTCGCCGCCAGGGGGCGCCATTGTTTGTAATTGGCCTCGTTTGCTTCCGCTGCAAACTTTTTCATTAAACGCGGGACGAGCGCGTCTTTTGTGCATTTCACCAATCCCACTTTTCCCCACCGAAGCCCCATCTCTAGCAGTGCTGAGTGGGGTGTGGGAGCGGCGCTTGCTAACAAAAAAGTAGCACATAATGCGCGCTGGGTAGTTTTTTGAGCAGTTGATGCACTTTTTAAGCTTTCTATTTATTGCATGTTGAGCAAGCAAATAGTTTGAGTGTGAGGCTGATGCACAAGCATATACCCTGTAAACACCGCTTAACTCTTATAAATGATCTTTGCGTAGGATTCTCGTTGCCTACATATACACTAAATAGAGTGAAATAAATTGAGGGAATCGTTAAGCTAGATAATACCCTTTTAGCAACATTATAACTTGGGGCCGAACACATGGGAGCTATTAGACTTAAAGATACTCTGCAAAAATAATTTAATATTAATATATCAAAATATTTAATTGATGAATAAATGGAATCATTAATATTAAAATATATGATGATAGATTAGCAGATACTCTATAAATACTATATACGATGCTGCAATGATGATGATGTTTTTAGTTACACCTGCAATGCAGTTTTATAGAATATTTTGTAATACATAGCGTGGGCAATAGTCTTGCAGTCTTGTATAAATACAGTAAGTATAAATAATTAAAAATATGGAGCGCATATACCCTATCGACCTAAACACTTTCGCCACACTAATTAGAAGCATAATGTTATAAAGTTTCCTGCTTATATAACGGGTTATTATAACTCATTTTATGCATTTAATTTCATGGCAGGAGGAGAAGCGACTGGCCAAGGAGGAGGAGCGCCTGGCCAAGCTGCATGCCAAGGAGGAAAAGAAACGGGGCAAAAAGGAGGCCAAGGAGCTATTATTGGCAAACGATGGCAATAATAAGAAATAAAGTTAATTAACGTGCAAAGCTAATGTTGAAATTACAAACGATAAATGGAAACTGTATTATATCAGACATAATACACATACAGACACCCACACATTCCATACAAACGAGCTTGATTGTATTTATAGGGTATTTATTTACTTTAGTGCTATGTACAAAACAAAACTAATTTTATGACACAAAAAAGGAAAAGAAAAACAAAGCGAAACTCGTCACACAAAAAATTGTTTTTAGTGCAGAACAATTTTTTTGTTGTAGTTATATTTATTTATTTATTTTTTCATTCTTATTTTATATTAAAAAAAAATAACTTTTGTAACTCTGCCTTAGCCACAGAGCATACGAAAAAGTTAAGAAAATAGATCCATATTCTAGAATTCTCCTTTTAGATTTTGTGTTTTTATTTTTCAGTCAAGCCTAACAAACTCATCTGTCTCATAAGTTGAAAAGGTTGTTCCAAACAATTTAAACAATTAAAAAATTTGAATGAAAAACAAAAGAAAATTTTCAACTTCAATTCTACGCCTAATAGATTTTAATACCAAATGCGAAAGCGTAGCTAAAGCAAAAGTAAACAACAAAAAAAAAGAAATGATGAATAAATATTTGAAAATAAAGTTAACTTAAGAAATCTTTTGAATCCCTATAAGAAAAACAAATATTTAGCGAACGTTAACCAAATTTGAACGTGTTGAAAAAAATTCTAAAGTAGTTTTGCATATTATATATACTACCAACTAATATATATATATATATATATATATATATATATATACATATATATGTTACTGTGTACTATGACCATAGTTCTATAGATTCTATGCCCCATATATTGGAAACTGTTCAAATGGCAAAACATAAGCAATGTATATTACTAATTGTTTTCGAAAAACAAACCCAAATAAAGACAAAAGTTATTTAGTTAGACTTGTTCTTGCCTTCTGGGGTCTCGCGCTCTTTTCTTTCCAGGCACTTGAAGAAGATCCTGCCGAATATGGCTGGCAAATCGCGTTGGCACTGCAGATTGCCCATCTTGTGTATGGCTCCGTAGTCCTTACAGTTGATCACATTGTCTCCATTGCAGTCCTGAGCGTTCTTATACATATAGTTCTGTATGGTGTCTGCCGCACAGTGTGGATCATTGACGCAGTCCGTGAAGGCTAACAGAGAGGAAGACTTTACTTCAGTTATGTGAGCTGCCATTCATATATATATATATATATAAATATATATATATATATATATATGTATGTATATGCCCACCATCGCCATCCACCGCATCCATGCTGGGCACTGCTAATGAGCCTCCAGCCCTCCAGTAGGTCCAGGTGATGCGAAAGATACCACAGGCTCCATTCACACAGATCTTTGTTGCATTGCATCCGCTCATCGCCTCGCATAAACATTCCAAGCAGTCTTCCGTGACGGGCTTATTTACAACTGTGACGGGGTAAGTGGGGGAAGTGTCATTTAATAAGAGCTGCTTAGCATATTAGTCGCTTGTATTCAATGGAAATACATCCAGTATCGGCAAAGCCGGTTTACATTATTATACGTATTCAATATATGAGCAACAATTATCTGACACTGCTGTTGCACAGTGCTACGAAAGGCATCGGAATTAATTTTAAAAACTTAAATGATTGTTTAATCAGGATAATAAATGTCTCTAGATTCATTTTAAATACACTAAAGTTAAAGATTTCATTTTTTACGAATATATATAACAAGTATAAGATAGATTTTAGAATCGATCAATTTAACCATTTCTGAAGTAACACATGCAGCTTGAAGCTTCGACATTCGCATCCACACAATAGCCTGGGATTCGAACCAGAAGCCTGATTATTTAATTAAGGACTGAAGACTGCTCATCAATTATTTATGGTAATATAATTATTAAAGTCATTATCACATTTATCATTTTTTTTTATATTATTTATTATCATAATTATCATTTTTTATTCTGTCGAGCACACTCCAGACTAAATGGTTAATGTATTTAATTATCAAAGTAATTATTACACTTATAATTTTTTTAAAATATTTATTATAATTATTTAATAATTATTATTAATTATTTTATTTTATCTATCCTTATCTTTGTAGCATCAATGCTCAAGCTCATTCCAAACTGAATCTCAACTGTCTTTTAATGATTCAAATCATTTTTAAATTTATTTTAGATGCCTTACCTTCTTTATCAGCACCAATGTGCCTTATAGAAAATAAAGCCCACACTGAAAAAACACTGAACAACAAGAAAATGCGATTGCTTAACATTTTTAATTGCTTGACAATTATTCAGTTTCTATCCGAGCTGTTGGCGTTGCCACGCTTAGCGCACGACTGAGTATCGCGAAATGGAAGTAAAGCCATAAAAATAAGATCAAGCAAATGCTAAATTCAGTTTTCTTATGACAATTGTGTTTTATTAGCTGGAAAACCCTTATACTATATATTACTTAATAATTAAGTTAACTTTTCTACAATAAATAGAATCAATTAAAAAATTAATCAATTCAGGTATTAATTGATTGCTGTTGCTGTTGTTGCATCTCGGCACGCTTCAGACACTTTTTGAATATGCTCTCAAAAGTGTATGGCATATCGGCTTGACAATTGAAGGGACCCATATAGTGTATGGCGCCATAGTCGAGACAATTTTCCTGCTGATCTCCATTGCAATCTTGTCCATATTTGACCATATAGTTTTGCAGGCTATCTGCCGCGCAGTGCGGGTCATTGGCGCAATTCGTAAACGCTAAACAATGGATTTGATTAGAATACAGATAAGCGCATTCTCTCTCTGTCTTTATAAAACATAATACTACTCACAGTTTTCCAATTGGGACGGCTCTCCATTGACCGTCAACCGACCCGAGTCGACCCACTGATCCCACGTAATGCGAAAGATGCCACATGCCCCATTGACGCACACAGCTGTTGCATTGCAGCCACTTAATGCCTCGCACATGCAAACTAGACACGTCTCTGTGATGGGACGCTTCTGCTCTGCCTTAACTGCAGCCACGCCCGCAATGAGTAATACAGACAAATACATCAAGTTTTTAGTTGTAAACATTTTAGTTTCCGTTTCGATTGATTCAAATGTTGCCGAGCTACTGAACAGTTCCTACTGTTGGTTGTTGATATTTATATAGATAGTCATTTGTTGCAGCTATTAAATAGAGTCTATATACTACAGTTCAGGAAATTACACACTACGCGAATACAGTTTAATGATCCAACCCACATTAAGTGACAAGTCTTCTATTTCATTGAGCTCAATAATTGTTCAGGCTTAGGGGAATCCTTCACATTTAGCATTATATAATTATATAGATTATTCTGAAGATGGTTTTAGAAAAGTAACGTCTAGTTATTGATATACAAGAGCTTCCCCGGAGAAAAAATGCTTTAAAAAGCTGTCATTTATTTATATAAATATGAAATATTCATTTATATTATATTATTGTCTCTTTCCACATTAATATAGTGTAATGAGATACAACACACTGCACTGATCGTCCCTGCGAAGTTCGACATCTTTATTTTAAATTCCTATCTTATAGAAACAGTCTCTTTACAAATAAATACTGGTTTTTATTATGTACCTATACTGTGTTTGACGTACGAGATGCTCTTAAATTCTTCATTATCGTCAAAGATGATCTTTGTAAATGAGAAATAGTATTCAAAATTAAATTAATCTTTAATTCATTTTTAACGTCTACGATCCCAATACTATGATATGACATTATATACTATTTTCACAATTTTCAAATAATTTTCTTAGGATATTTCCAAAAGATAAAGAAACTTGTTTTACATCTTTATAAATACTGAGTTCATTTACATATATATATGTTATATTATATAATACATATATATAGGTTATATGTGGAATCTTTATTAATTAACTTGGCTTTCACAATTCTAAAAAAAATTCCCCAGAAATTATATTATATATTCAGATTATAGTTGCAATATAAAATCAAGCTTACTTTAAAGAAGTATATCCTAATCATATATATGTATAAGCTTTTTATCAGCTTTTTCTCAATGGTTATCCTTCCTTAGATTTTACTCAAAACCCTGTAGCTCATAGTTCTCAATGCAGTCATCGAAGGTACTCTGAAATTTATATGGCATTTCGCCATGACAGCCATATGCGCCCAATTTGTGAATTCTGGCATAATCGTGACAGTCCATTTCCCCATCATCGTTGCAATCCTGATTGAATTTCTTCATATAGTTCTGCACGCTGTCGGCGGCGCAGCGCGGATCGTTCGCACAGTTGATGAAGGCATCTTCCGAGTCGGGCTCATCACCATTTGTGGTCAATTTGCCCGCATCCACCCAATAGGCCCAAGTAATGCGGAAGATGCCGCAGGTGCCCTTATCTGGGTTGGTGCAGACGGCGGTCCCATTGCAGCCAGAGATTGCCTCGCAAAGGCAATTGAGGCACAGCTCCGTAACAGGCTTATCCAGCACGTGACCTTGCACAGTTAGGTTATATAATATAGAATATATAAAATAAATAGATCTTATACCAATCGGAACTTACCCTGCGCACGCACCAGGCTTGGGCAGAGCAGACAGACAAAACACAGGCCAATGTTCCATAAGATTTGCATTATATAGTATATGATAAGCCGGATTCACGTTCAAACTGTTCAGCATCTGAGCAGTTAATGAAACTAGCTTGAAATACTTGCTCGTACAGAGCCAATAAACACTCAAGAATACCGGTTTTAGGGCTCATTTAGATAGTAGAACAGATCAGTCAGCTATGTGAAAAAATACGGCCGTAGTTCTAATAGTATACCCCAGTAGTAAGCTTTTTCTGTTAGATACCATTAAGCAGTTGCTCTACAGCGTGCATCACAGAGAAATGCTACAGAGGAAAATCATGGGTATCTCATAGTCGTGCACTCTCCGTAAAAGCTGCTTGCAAAAAAGCGCACGCGTCGTACACATTATAATAAGTAAGTGAAGTTTCAAACCAACCAAGAGACTAAGCTTAAGTCGTTACTTATTATAACTTAAAGCTCTCCCTGCTACACGCTCATGCAGCTTATTGTAAGGTACATCAGCTAATGCATAATGTTTATGTATCTTATGTATAAGATACATGTGAGGTATGAACAATGAAACGACAATTATTTATAGTATTTATACTTTATACTAGATAGGACCACAAGCACTCGATAAACTGAAGTTTTCCAATTTTATCAAGATATATATATAATTACTAAATATCCCTCTTATAATTTAGTAGCTTTTTCAGATATATATATCTGACCCCTCTCGAATCAATCAAATCTTTTTCAAATTTATTTTTGTTTTTTTTTTTTTTATTTTATTCATTTTAAAAAGTTGGCTGTACTTTTCAAAGGGTATTTGCACAATTCAAAGTGATTAAATATACAAATTCCAATTTGTAGCTCTGCATATAAATAATTAAAACATACTGTCGTAGATCATATGTGTATATAGCTTATCCCGATGTGCGCACATCGAGGGGCGAGAAGGTGGTCAAGCACTTGTCCAGCGCACTCTGATATTGATAGCTCAGTTCGCCCTTGCAGCCATAGCCGCCTAGCTTGTGGATAGCCGCATAATCGTAGCAATCAATGCCTCCATCTCCATTGCAATCTTGTCCAAACTTTGTCATATAGTTCTGTATGGTATTAGCTGCACAGTACGGATCGTTCACGCAGTTGGCAAAGGCTAAAAGAGGCGAGAAGTGAGTTCAACAATGGTTAACATGGATCAACTAAAACATATTTAGTTATTATTTATTTATTTAGCAGCTAACTTTAAAATCTATGTATAGATTATATCTATATATATTATTATATTATATTATTAAGATGTAAACTAATGCCTTTATGAATTATTAGACTAATTAAACAAAAATTAAAACAAAAACATTTTTGTTAAAAATAAAAACTAATAAAAGTTTGAATTTTCTTACTATTCAAATAAATACTAGACTTGTTATCAAGTATCAAAAAAGTAGAAAGCTAAATTAAAAATTAAATGAAAAGAACAAAAAAAATCTATTTCTTTGCATAGTGTAATCAGGCAATATGAATCTGCATATAATTACTTTGTTGATTTGTTCTATAGTGTAAAACTAGAATTAAAAATTCAAAAAAACATTTCGCAAAGCAAATAAACTAATATTATTATTAGGAAAACAAATTCCAACTGCTCTGCTAAATGTAACTTGACTGTGTAGATCTGTGTGTTACTTACCATCTTCTGACTGGGGACTCTCGTTGGCCAGGGTCAGCTTGCCGCCATCCGCCCAATAGGCCCAGGTGATGCGAAACAGTCCGCAGACGCCGGCGCCACAAAAACGAGTCTGATTGCAGCCGCTAATGGCCTCGCAGATGCAGCCCAAGCACACATCAGTGACGGGCTTGTCTAAAATATATAAAAATATAAATATTAATGGAGCAAGGGTGCAAAGGGTATAGTGATTATACGACTTTTAGCTGATAAGCAGTAAATGATCTATAAATTCAGTATTTGCGATTAACGTAAGAAGCTTTCGAGTCTCAATAAAAAACTGGAAATTTTGTTTTGACTTTGTTTTTTTAATCTGTACACATTTTTGCTCAGAGATGTCATCGTTATATATTCTGAGATTTGGTAATCAAATAAATATATGTAAACTGTAAGTCAAGTTAATAAAATGTATATCCAATTTTTATATGTATATTTGTATACAAATATATATGTGTCAGAAAAAATATTAATAATAATACACATCGTACGCCCATGAACCTGACGTTCCGTTGGATGCTGTATATACCTACCTCTCTGCCAGCCATTGCCGAACTAGTTTTGCAACTTTCAATGGCAGCATCGAGACTTCAAGACTACATTGTCTTCTTTTCGTTTTGTTCTTTTTAACTACAATTTTTGAACTGGGCGTATGAGTCAATTTACCTTATCAAGAAGCACGTTTCAAGCAAAATTCTTTTATTTCCCAGGTTTTTGTTATTTTTTTTTTAATTTTTTGGTGGGTTGTCCAAGGTTTTCGCCTGGCAGATGTTGCTTGTCAAGTGCGAAAATTGATCTCCATTTTTTACTTATTTTGTATGCATGAGCTCTCGCCACTTATTGCTAATATGTACATATGTCTCCTGATGATTTATAGTACCTCGTAAAATACTTTAAAAACCTTGCAGAAATTGTATGACCAATTGAAAAAAATACTTAATCTGATATAGATATAATATACAAGATAAAAGTTTCTTAATAAATTATCTTTAGTTTGAATTAAGACTACTGCTAAAGATCAAACAGTTCCTCAAATTAATATCTATCATCTATTAAATTAAAATTAATATCAATTTGTTCAAATTATTTTGAATTATTTCATCTTGATATATTTTTAATAGTGCCTTAAATAAGTTGGCTTCTGCTGCTTGAAAAACGTAATTAATATAATTGAGCAGTTCCTCAAAATCTTTTTTTTATTGGAAAAATGTTTAATACCACGAAAAGCATATTAATTTTCCTTAAATACAATTTATTTGTCTTTAAATTGTAATTACATAAATTATTTAATTTATTTAAGATTGGAGTTAATACTTCATTTAATTACACAGTTCCGCAGAATTGAATTTAATCACCCAACATGAAACAAAGCAGTAAAATAAATTCCCTGCGAATGAAGAGTAATATTTTGAATTCAATTTTAGTTTTCATTCATTTTTACAATGCCTCAAAACAGCTTCACAATTTTTGCACTGACACGCTTCAAAACTATCTGAGTTCGGGTTCAATGCACTCTTTGAAATAACCCTAAAAGTTACTAATTTGGGTCAAAATTTGAATATGGTTTGCCGGATCTATATTCATTTATTTCAAAATTTGTCAGATAGTATTCACGTCTTTCATTTTATATTAGTTTTAATTAAATGAACACGTTTATAATTATCATATAATTACTTAGATATTAACTGTAGAAATCAAAGATAGAAACAATTACGAGTGCATGAAAAAATGTCACAACAAAGAGGTAAACTTTTCCCGGATCCGACAAGAACAATGGATGTCAAAAAAAAACTGTTCGTAAAGATGTGTAATAAAACGGGGAAATTTTAATATGTGCATATAATTTCTATATATATATTATATATATTATATATATATATATATTTATATATATATATATATATATATATTTATATATATATATATATATATATTTATATATTGCATACACTATACAATAACTATTTGCAAAAGCCTTAAACATTTCATCTTTATAAAATATAATAAATTTAACTCTTTAAACCATCAATCAATGCAGTTGTGCAATTTCAATTCAATTTAATTCCGTTTCATTAGTTCAATTTGAATAATCGGAAGTAGTTAGCAATGCCAAAGTAATTGGAAGCGTCTGTCAATACCCCTGATCGCAGTTGCATTCAATGTACATCACTTATATAGCTTCAAGCGGATTATCACCTAACGCATATAGATAAATATATGCGTTTTGTTAAGTATTGCCCGAAAAGCAACAGAATTTTGTATGTATAAGATTGCTAATTAATGTTAATGAAATGCACGATACCTGTGTACAGGTATTTCCAACACGCATTTGAAATACATATGCATATGTGACGGAATTTGTCAAACAAAAATAACAAAACAAATAATATATTAAATATAGTCTACTCTGTTTCACTTACCCTGGGCTTGTATCAAAGCGGCAAAGCCGAGGCACAGTAGAGCTCCGATAGCCAGAGTGCAGCACAACTTGTTTGCAGCCATTGTAAATGTGTATTTTTTACTGCCCGAAAAAATTGATGTTCTTGTGAATATTTAAATTGTAAACAAATTCGTAAACTTCGCTCTTCTAGTAGAACCGCACGCTGACGCGTTTCTCGTTTGACTGAGCTGCCAAACGTGCGGACTGCGCTCTTTTGTTCAACTACTTGAAAAAGCTTTTGCTCTAAACAAAAGACTTTAAGCACGAACTTAAAATCGTAACTGAAAAACAGCTTTTATGTGTCTGTGAGAAAGGGACAGAAAGAGACAGCGATAGACATTATTACGTTTAGCTTTGCTTTAATTTTATTTTGTATGCTTCAGTTAAAGAGTATATAGTTGCTTAGATCTTGTTGAAGGCAGCAATATCGACGGACTGCACGAAATCCTCGAACTCCTCAATCTTCTCCTGCAACAAATCAATCGAAACCTTGTCATCCTCGATGACGCACATAATCTGCAACTTGTTGATGCCATAGCCAACGGGCACCAATTTGGATGCGCCCCACAGCAGACCGTCCATTTCGATGGTGCGGACATTGCTTTCCATCTCCTTCATGTCGGTCTCATCATCCCATGGCTTCACGTCGAGCAGCACAGACGACTTGGCAATCAGCGCAGGTTTCTTTGATTTCTTGGCAGCATAAGCGGCAACACGCTCAGCCTTGATGCGCTCGGCCTCGGCATCGTCCTCCTCATCAGAGCCGAATAGATCAACATCATCATCATCGTCGGCAGCTGCCTTAGCGGGAGCAGCGACTGTGGGCTTGCCTCCAGCCAATTGGGGCAGCGGAGCACCCACCCAGGCAGAACGCTCACCTGCCTCGAAAGAGGCAATGTGACGGTACCAACGGGAAATATTGGCATAGCTGGCAGCTGGTGCCTTTCCCAGGGCATCAAACACAGACACATCGGCTTTGGTAGCGGTGTAGCTGAAACAAAAACCCAAAAGAATATATCATTAGAAATATGCCGACGTGTTGATCATACCTAACCTCACATTTGAGAGGCACATGCGGCTCGTCGCTTACCCGCTGATGTAGCTGTTGTTGGCCAGGAAGTCGTTCAACTCCTTGAGGCCTTGTGGGGTCTTAACATCACCGAATGCCATTTTAAATGCGCTTACTTTTTGTTAAATTCGCTTTTAAAATAAATGTGTCGTGCGCCGAGTTCCGTCTACGCTGGGAGAGTCTATGCGAAAGAGCCAGTGATGTACAATGGCGACAATATTTTTGCATAAATATCGAATCGTAATATATCGATATGTAAAATACACTATGCAACACTGTAAAATGGTTACTCAGCTGCTTCGTGTTAGTTCTGCTGGTCGACGATGTAATTGGCTTAATTGTTAAAATTTTGTTAAGCATAAGTGGTTGAATATAAATAGAAAATAATAAGCGATGAGTTGAAGTCCAAAACAAAGCAACATTAGCAATTGGCAATTCAACAAAACCGCTTCGATTAGCAGCAGACACACATATATCTGATTGATGATTTGAAACACCCTGTTTGTGACGCAGTTACACAACGTCAAGGGAAATTCTCAAAATTCTCAGTCTGGACGAGCAGTAGGCCTCGGGACCAACGATAGGGGCACGGACACAACGACAATAAGCATACAATTGGAGCTCTGCGACAATCGTCTAGCAGGTAACGATCGAATAATCGGTTCTATTTATAGCATGCCAATATGCCTCTAATTGAGTATTCTGTTCGGCTCTCTTTGTCTTTTTTGTCAATGCAGTTCAGGGCCGCTACGATTTTCACTTTCGTTATTTGGCAGAGCTCCTAGCAATAAGTTGGTTGTATAGTGTTCTCGACATGGTAGTCACTGCGTCCACTTGCCGCACGGAAACGGTTTTTGATTACAGCTGGATCCATGTCGTTTCTGCCTATTGGAATCGTTATCCAAACCCGTCCAGGTGTGCTACCTTTATCATTTACCATTAACAATATTTAATATAACTATACTCTTTGACGCAGTACTCATGTCCTTACCGAGGACACAATTAGGCGAGAAGTGCGCGATGGTAAATTATATTCTCGCCGTTTGTTATCGAAAACGAATCCGGTGCCTAAGTGGGGGGCACGTTTTTACAACAATTTGCCGGTGAAGATTGTTGAGGATTCGGTGTTGGACCCGGTAAAAAAGACATTTACAACATTTACCCGCAATCTGGGCATGAAAAAGATAATGGTAAGCAGACTTTGACCTCATGCGCGCGCACGCACAGGGTGATACAGGCTAATACCTACCGTATATTCCAGAAAGTGGATGAAATTGTAGTCTACAGCGAACAGAAGGACGGACGCACTTTAGCTGTCCGGAGTGCATACATTAGTTCTCAAGTATTTGGTTTCTCCCGTGCAATACGCGCCTTTGGCATTGAGCGCTTCAAATCGAACGGCAACAAAGCGTCAAATGGCTTTAACTACGTGCTGCGACGCATGTTCCCGCAGCATCAGCTGTCAGCGACGGCGTCATTAACGCCAATAAGTTCACAGAGCACAGCAGCGAGTGCTACATACAGCGATATGGCCAGTGCATCTGCGAATCACAGCGGCAGCAGTACATCCGAGGCTCTGAAGAGAACAGCGAAAATTAGTTACGAGTTTTGCAAAGGTCATGCCAGTAAAATTGCGCAACTTTTTTCCGTCAAGAACTAACTCAACAAGTAGAACTGAAAATGGAACTAAACTAGACGCGGTGACAGACTTGCAAATACAATCATCTATATATATATAAATATATATATATATATATATATATATTTCTATATCTATATATATATGCATGCATGCATATATATATATTTATATATATATATATATATTACATATACATATGTATGCACGCATACATGTATTCCAAAATATAACAAACATTTGCTGCATTTCATTCCGTGTGTTGAGCTGAATGGAGTTCGAGTATCAATCATAAGCTCAACACAATAACAAAAAATGCATGGAACAGCGAGTCATTCATATTAAATGGAACATTAGACAGTTCCCATTTTTCTATATATTTCGCTAAAAACACGTGTAAAAATTTGGATTTTTATGTACTGTATATATATTTTGTAGAAAATACATGCCTAGGTTAAAACAAACATTTGTATAACTTAAGACGTAAACCAAAAACCAGAAATGGAATTTGATCAACAAATATAAGCTCGTGCAAGGCGCGAAGTTTGTCTAGTGTTGTTAACTACCATATTTATTACCAATTACTATTCTAGCCCGTATAATGTACGGCAACGCTTTGAGAACAATTTTCGATTGATCGCTAGAACAGACTAGCAAAATATAGCGGTTTTGCATGAAATAAAGTTCAAAAAAATTGCTAGTGTTCGTTTTAGAAACAGCATTCCTTAACTCTTCAGTGTTAATAAATATGTAATTTCTTATAACCAAATTATGCAGAGAACAGTGTTTGGAAATTATAATTTAATGAGAAAAGATAAGTAACTCTTATCGATAAATAACTAGCTGCTTATCGAACTTCAAAGAAAAGTAGTCGGTTTTTCCCGCAATGTCATTGTAAAATTGATCTTTTATTTATGTATAACTAAATAATAAAAATAAATAGAAAACTAATGAAATGTCTAAAGTAAACGCCTACAACATGGATGACCAGAAAGAAAATGTGGTAAGCGGAAATTCCTATAATTTTTTTTTGAGTGCCTGCTTTTTTGTCTTATTAAATGTACAAATTTTATTTAGATTGTGAGCTTAACCAAGGCTGAAGACAATGCTGAGAAGGAATTTTTAAACACGATAGAATCCACGCTTAACAGCCGATTTGAGTGCTTGTTAAAACAGACAGAAATCTTTGCAAATTTTGTCCGAGATACGCTTTCAGAAGCAAAAAACCCTAAAGGTCTTGGCGGAAAGCCCAAAAGAGGCAGGATTCCTTTGCAACCGAAGTAGGTGAATATACGGATTACCTAATACAAAAATAAAATATATGTATGCATTGTTCAGGCATCAAGGCATTGTATCAAAGGGTGAGGATAGAGAACCTATTGGACCAGATACCAATAACAATAATATAGGTTACTTAAGTGCTTCGCCCGCCTTTATTGCAAACGGGCAACTGCGTGACTATCAGGTACGTGGCTTAAACTGGATGATTTCACTCTACGACAATGGAATCAATGGTATTCTGGCCGATGAAATGGGTCTGGGCAAAACACTACAAACGATCTCGCTGTTGGGTTATCTTAAGAATGTAAAGTGAGTGAACAGAAATTGAAAGAATAACATCCAGATCACTTGATACAATTGTCGTTTACAGACATGATACTGGTCCCCACTTGGTTGTTGTACCCAAATCAACTTTGGGAAATTGGATGAATGAGTTTAAGCATTGGTGTCCTTCGCTGAACGTCGTTTGTCTCATAGGCAACCAGAAGACTCGCAAGACTATCAAATCTAAAATGTTGACGAATGGGAATGGTAAATGGGACGTATGCACGACTTCATATGAGATGTGCTTGCGAGAACGCAGTCTATTGAAGAGCTTTCACTGGCAGTACATGATAATCGACGAGGGACATCGCCTCAAGAACGAAAAGACTAAGCTTTCGCTGACGATGCGCGAGTTCAAATCGAAGAATCGTCTACTTCTTACAGGCACACCTTTAAACAATAATTTGCATGAACTTTGGGCACTGCTTAATTTTCTGCTGCCAGATATGTTCAACTCCTCGGAAGATTTTGATGAGTGGTTCAATACGAATACCTGCCTAGGGGACGAGACGTTAGTTACCCGTTTACATGCGGTATTGAAGCCTTTTCTGCTGCGTCGTCTAAAGTCTGAGGTGGAAACGAATTTGGAACCTAAGAAAGAGGTAAACATCTATGTAGGCCTTTCAAAAATGCAGCGGGAATGGTATACCAAGCTGTTGCTCAAGGACATCGACATCATCAAAAGCACCGGCGAAGTGTCAAAAATGAAAGTTTCGAATATTTTAATGCAGCTGCGAAAGTGCGTAAATCATCCCTACTTGTTCGAAGGCGCCGAACAGCCTCCCTACACAACAGACTCGCATCTACTAAGAAACTCTGGTAAAATGTTCATTCTAGACAAATTACTGCTGAAACTTAAGGAGCAGGGCTCTCGTGTGCTAATCTTCTCGCAGATGACACGAATGCTTGACATTCTAGAGGATTATTGCAATTGGCGAGAATTTGACTATTGCCGCCTTGATGGCCAGACACCACACGAGGAGCGTAATAGACTGATCCAAGAGTATAATATGGAGAACAGCGCCAAATTTATATTCATGTTGTCGACTCGAGCCGGCGGCTTGGGCATCAATTTGGCCACCGCCGATGTGGTCATTATCTATGATTCGGATTGGAATCCACAGATGGATCTACAGGCCATGGATCGTGCCCATCGGATTGGCCAAAAGAAGCAGGTGCGCATTTTCCGTCTGATTGCAGAGAACACCATCGATGAGAAGATTATCGAGCATGCGGATGTCAAACTGCGTCTGGATAGAAAGGTCATCCAGTCTGGTATTAATAATCGTCGAATGCCCGATAAAAAAGAGTTGTTAAATATCATTCGCTTAAGTGCCAATGACGTATTTAGCATAAAGGACCTGGACACCACTGATGAGGATATCGATGTTATACTGGAACGCGGAGAAGCGAAGACAGCTGAACAGAGGGACAGACTAAATAGGCTGGGTAAAAGCACAATGCCCACCTTCACCATGGATACAAACAGTGGAGCTGGCACTTCCTCCGTTTATCAATTTGAAGGCGAAGATTAGCGCAAGAAGCAGGAGAATAAAATAGAACCGAAAAAGAAGCAGCGTAAATCTTAATAAGCTGACAAAATAATTTAGAATTTAGGAAAAATCAGAAGTCGAAATGAAAGAGCTGAAAGCTTTGATTAGTGTAAGATTTTAAAATAGTCAAGTGAAGTTATTTTTAATTTAATATTTTTGTTAAAATTAACATTTTGTTTGTACTCGTAAAAAAAGCAAATGGCAAAAATATAATATTAAGTTTGATCAAATTTCCGCGCAATACTGTGTCTAGTTGGATATTGTTGTTGTTGTAGCCCTGGATGTCGTTATCGAGTGTTATCGATGAATCGAAATTAAGGCAACCCCGAAAACGCCACTTTTTCCCGCTGTCGCTTACACATACAGACGCAGCAACGCGCAAATCGCTCTCGCTTCTCCAAAATAATTTGGAAAACTCAATAATTAAATAATTTTATCATAAAAAGCAAACAAACGGCATTATAAATATGTCGAAAACAGATGCCGCCACAGTGGAAACCAACGAGGAGAACTCGGTAAGTAGAATTGGATAAAGTAAAAGCAGCGCTTGCAAAATTTTCGCCAAAAGCAGACGCCGCATGCCGCTTCGATAAAAATTTGACAGATGTTTGTTAATAATTTGTTCATGCAGAATGAGACTACCTCGGAGGCGGCGACCAGCTCCTCGGGCGAAAAGGAAGCCGAATTTGACAATAAAATCGAAGTAGATCGCAGCAGACGCTTCGATTATTTGTTAAAGCAAACTGAGATTTTTACACATTTTATGACAAACAGCACAAAAAGCCCAACCAAACCAAAGGGCCGACCCAAGAAGAACAAGGACAAAGACAAGGATAAGGATGTGGCAGAGTGAGTTATTCAAAAAATATTTCTTAACCTACATAACGAAATTGAACTTTGCAATTAATTGTACAGCCATCGACATCGCAAAACAGAGCAGGAGGAGGACGAGGAGCTACTTGCTGAGGACTCGGCAAGTAAGGAACTATTTCGTTTTGATGCTTCGCCGGCCTATATTAAAGGTGGTGAAATGCGAGACTATCAAGTACGTGGTCTCAACTGGATGATATCGCTTTACGAGAACGGCATCAATGGAATCTTGGCGGATGAAATGGGTCTGGGTAAGACTCTGCAGACCATCTCTCTGCTCGGTTATCTAAAGCATTTCAAGTGAGTCAGAGTTACTTTTATACACCTAAATCAATATACCATTTAATGAATCGCCACTTAACAGGAATCAAGCTGGACCGCATATTGTAATCGTTCCTAAGTCAACTCTTCAAAATTGGGTGAACGAGTTTAAGAAATGGTGTCCTTCTCTCCACGCTGTTTGTCTCATTGGCGACCAGGACACTCGCAACACATTTATTCGTGATGTCCTGTTACCTGGGGAATGGGATGTTTGCGTCACTTCATACGAGATGTGTATACGTGAAAAGTCCGTCTTTAAGAAATTCAACTGGCGCTACATGGTCATCGATGAAGCGCATCGCATTAAGAATGAAAAGTCAAAACTTTCGGAGATTCTGCGCGAATTCAAGACCGCAAATCGTCTGCTTATTACTGGAACGCCTCTGCAGAACAATTTGCATGAGCTGTGGGCGCTGCTTAATTTTCTACTACCCGATGTATTCAACTCTTCGGAGGACTTTGACGAGTGGTTCAACACAAATACTTGTCTGGGTGATGATGCTCTTGTTACGCGTCTACACGCTGTACTCAAGCCATTCCTGCTGCGTCGTCTGAAGGCAGAGGTGGAGAAACGATTGAAGCCCAAAAAAGAGATGAAAATCTTTGTTGGGCTGTCGAAAATGCAGCGAGACTGGTATACCAAGGTGCTCCTGAAAGACATCGACATCGTCAACGGCGCTGGAAAAGTGGAGAAAATGCGGCTTCAGAACATTTTGATGCAGCTGCGCAAATGCACCAATCATCCGTATTTGTTCGATGGCGCTGAGCCAGGACCTCCATACACAACCGACACTCATCTCGTCTATAACTCGGGCAAAATGGCTATTCTGGACAAGCTTCTTCCAAAGCTACAGGAGCAAGGCTCTCGTGTGCTAATCTTCTCGCAGATGACTCGCATGCTGGATATTCTTGAAGATTATTGCCATTGGCGTAACTATAACTATTGTCGCTTGGATGGCCAAACACCGCATGAAGATCGTAATCGACAAATCCAGGAGTATAATATGGAGAACAGCACCAAATTTATATTCATGTTGTCGACTCGAGCCGGTGGCTTGGGTATCAATTTGGCCACCGCCGATGTGGTCATTATTTATGATTCAGATTGGAATCCACAGATGGATCTGCAGGCCATGGATCGTGCCCATCGTATTGGGCAAAAGAAACAAGTGCGCGTGTTTCGACTAATTACCGAAAGTACCGTAGAGGAAAAGATCGTGGAGCGTGCCGAGGTGAAGCTGCGATTGGACAAAATGGTTATTCAAGGCGGCCGTCTCGTTGACAATCGTGCCCAGCTCAATAAAGACGAGATGTTGAATATTATTCGCTTCGGTGCCAATCAGGTATTCAGCTCCAAGGAGACAGACATTACCGACGAGGACATCGATGTCATTTTGGAGCGCGGCGAGGCAAAGACGGCCGAACAGAAAGCTCATTTGGACAGCTTGGGTGAGAGCTCGTTACGTACTTTTACCATGGACACAAACGGCGAAGCGGGCACCTCATCTGTTTATCAATTTGAGGGCGAGGATTGGCGCGAAAAGCAAAAGCTAAATGCTTTGGGTAACTGGATTGAGCCACCCAAGCGTGAACGTAAAGCGAACTACGCTGTGGATGCTTATTTCCGTGAGGCGTTACGAGTCTCTGAACCAAAGGCACCCAAGGCGCCACGCCCGCCTAAACAGCCTATTGTTCAAGACTTTCAATTCTTTCCGCCGCGCCTATTCGAGCTGCTCGATCAAGAGATTTATTACTTCCGCAAAACTGTTGGCTACAAAGTGCCCAAGAATACGGAACTCGGTTCAGAGGCCACCAAAGTGCAGCGTGAGGAACAGCGTAAAATTGATGAAGCTGAACCGCTCTCCGACGATGAAATTCTTGAGAAAGAAAATCTGCTGTCTCAGGGCTTTACAGCTTGGACAAAGCGAGATTTCAATCAATTCATCAAAGCGAACGAGAAATATGGACGCGATGATATCGAAAACATTGCCAAGGATGTGGAGGGCAAGACACCAGAAGAGGTGATTGAATACAATGCCGTATTCTGGGAGCGGTGCACAGAGCTGCAAGATATTGAACGCATCATGGGACAAATTGAGCGTGGCGAGGGCAAGATTCAACGACGTTTGTCCATCAAAAAGGCACTCGATCAAAAGGTGAGCATAGTTAGTTAGTTCATAGTTAGTTGACTATAATATATATTCGGTGTCTTATTGCAGATGTCTCGATATCGCGCGCCTTTCCACCAGCTTCGGTTGCAGTATGGCAACAACAAGGGCAAAAATTATACAGAGATCGAAGATCGTTTTTTGGTCTGCATGCTGCACAAGCTCGGCTTCGACAAAGAAAATGTTTACGAAGAGCTGCGCGCGGCCATACGGTGAGAGTTTTTTACAAATAATTTTTGACAAGAAACCTAATATCTTTTGATGTAAAAATTTGCAGCGCCTCGCCGCAGTTTCGTTTTGACTGGTTTATCAAATCTCGCACAGCGCTGGAGTTGCAAAGACGCTGCAACACACTAATCACGCTTATCGAGCGTGAGAATCTTGAGCTTGAAGAAAAAGAGCGCGCCGAGAAAAAGAAGAAAACGCCCAAGACTCCGGGCGGCAGTAGCACGAACACTCCTGCACCGCCGCCACAGCAGAAGGCAAATCAGAAGCGCAAAAGCGAGGTGGTTGCCACCAGTTCCAATGCTAAAAAGAAGAAGAAGTAAAGAGGCCGCCACCATGACGTTACTAGTGAAAAAACAGTTAATAATATAATAATACAAGTAATAATAACAATAACAATAACTACACAAATACGATTTATATGAGATTCAGCTCCGCACAGCATTATTTTATAGACCATCCACAAAAACATTTTACACTCGTTTGTAGTTTCTTAATTTACAAAACAAAAGATTTATTACATACTTAAATAATAATAATTAGTAATTAATAATTATATATGCGCGCCGCTGTATTCTATTCCACTTAATTGTATTTCGTTATAAGATTTCAATTATTTATACTTTAAATGTCACGGAGCAAAAGTAAACAAACATATATATAAATGCATTTTGATAAAAAAGATTCGCTGGTGTAGTCTATCTTGGCTAATCATAGTAATGCGAACTTGCTGTGAAATCATTTTTCAACAGTTGTGTTTGTACACAATTTCCCTTTTCAACTTAAGTTATCTAATCCAAGGCAAATCTTAGTGTGTGACTAAATTTTAGGTGAGCGGATATAGGTATAATAATGAGCTCATTCAAATAAAAGATAAGTTGAATTGTATAAGGAAATAGAAAAACAACAGGAAAAACAAATATTTTGAAACTACCCAAAATTTAAAAATTGGTTCTGGTTCGCTATACGGTTCTTATCCCCATATCTGCTCGTGTGCCGATTCCTACTTTATAGCTGTACGCTAGTAGGCGTATGCGTTATATATTTTCTAATTTAAAGTGATACCAAATATCTTATTAAATTTGCAAAAAACATTTTAGATTTGTTTATAAAAATTTGTCTAATGAATATAATAATAGGAGTATATATTCGTTTTAGATCTCTATAAAACTACAGGAGAAAGCAATTGATTCATAATTGACTAAGGTTACTCAGTGCTTAACAACTGCAGCATAGCTTAATCCATCGAAGCACTTCATAAGGCTTTCCCTATATTAATTTAGCTATCTTTGGATATAAGTTTAACTTAGTAAACAGAAAAACGCTAAAACCTTGAATGTCACAGAAACCCATAAAATATGCTACAAAAACTATAAATTCTAGATAATAGAAAGGATTTGGCAGAAAAACTTTATCCACACCCACAACTGTCCAAAAGCATTTAAACATTTAAACATTTTTATTGTATTTAACACGTATAAAAGAAGACTTTGTTTTTGTTTTAACTTAATTAATAAGATTATAAATTCTATGGATTGGGCATTAGTTTAAATACAAATACACATATATATAACTATATATATAATGTATAACAGTTAGATGCAGGTACTTACTAGACACACATAAGACAAACATATGTGTGCAGAATTGGTGTTGAGGCTTAAGAATTAATATCAACTTTTCAATGCAGTCCAGCGGCAGCTGCTTGGCCATGTTCAACATGGCCATTTGGGAGTTGTGTCTAGGGTGTTTAGAGGTGTATGTGTATGTGTATGTGGCTGCTGCACTTGGTACTATACACTCGCTCGCCAGTAGGAGCACCTGCATCTTATTTAATACTAGTCAAGGGTTGTGGCAACAATTGCTACACCTCCTCCTTGGGATTGATTATCTCATCGATGGAGGCTGCAGAGCCTGCGACAAGCGCCAGGAGCGAGAAAATTCCCAACAATATATTCTTAATCAGCTTCCACTTGCAAAAGCCCAAACGATCGGGCCACAGATACACAGTTTCCACAAAGCTAGGCACGAAAATGCCAAGCAGCGAAAAGAAGACGGCGCCCACAAGACTGATGAATGGCTCCAGATTAGGTATACCTGCTGCAATACCTCCGCTGACCAGGATGATGCCAGTACGTAGCAGAATTTGCGTAATGTTGTGCTTCTCCGGCCGGAACTTGTGATGGATCTTACGCCAGAGAACCTCATTGGGCCTGCAATTGAGGCAAAATAATGAAACAATGTCAGGATGAAGACATTCAGTACTTACACATAGAACTGGAGACCATAGGTAAAGAGTATAGCCACGGCCATCAGCAACTTGGCTGTGTCGCCCAACCAGCTGCCGTCTGGCAGATTTAGCGTAATGCTGCCTCGCACTTCGTCTCCAAACCTGACCTGTAAAGTGGACAAAGTAGCATGAGTAAAACGTTTATGAGCCGATGGTCTGATCTTCACTCACATAACCAAAGAAGCCAATGATTGCATAGAGTACCACAACTGTAACCATGGCCGTATTGAGTACGCCGGGACAGCCAAGGAACTGCTGTGGCTTTCTCATCGAGTTCTCCACGGGCATGACGACGCCGATGCCCTCCATGGCAAAGATGACAGTGGCAAAGAAGAGGGGAATATGGGCTGCAGGCGCAATCAGTGGCTTATCCTTAAAGTCAAGCTCCTGGTCGAACATGTAGTAGAGTGTTATGATAAAGGTCACAACAATGAACACGTTCGCCATCAGGGAGAACGGCACCAGCCACTTGAGGTTCCTAATCTGACCTATCAATAGGCAGGGTATCACCGTAAAGCCGATGTAAATGCGCACATCCCATTTGAGACCCGCATCATAGTTAATGACATCATGGAAAGAGGTCGCTATGAAGACCATATAGACACAGGCGGCGGCATAGTAGGTAGCCATCAGGCCAATATCCACAAATTGTCTGCAATAAACAGTTATCAGTTATCAGTTATCAGTTGTTAAAGGAAGTACTTTTCCCAAATCCCAGCCCCAACAATATGATAAAAATTCAATAATTATGCTAAGTAAATTATCAGGAATCCGTAAAAGTTTGCGGGGTATATTCTTAATTGCAAATTTGGTCATGATGTGTGAAAGTAATTGATGGAAGTGTTGTTGAACTCGACAGATTATATATCAATTATATCAAAGATATACAAAAGATAAAAAAACTGTAATAATAAACGTAAAAGAATTTCAACATTTTGTTTTACAAAAAGCGATTTTTTCAGCTATCTTATCTTTGTATAATAGGATTTTGATGCGAATATAAGCTTAATGAAGTTAAGCATTATTTGTCAAAATGCTCTAATTAATGTATCAATTAATATTTCATTAGTGTGAAAAAAAAAACAAATACAAAAAAAAAAAAGCCGCCTAGCCTTATGATCTATCGAATAACATTGACTCTTACTTGGCAAAATTGGAATAGGGTCTTAGCCCTTTGGGTCCATATTCAAACACCGTTTTAGCAGTCTCTGCATAGCCCAGAGCCGGAACTTTCGCATCGCGACAAATGTTGTGTGAAGTTTTTACCTAACAAAATGAGATAAAATAGTTAATATATAAATGGAATATGAATAGAGTTGTAGAATTTGTTGGCATATGAACTAAGTATCTAAGCATTATTGTTTATGCATATGGAATTCTTCTTATTTAAATCTGATTAATTTGTGGCCATTTTGTATATAGAACATAGAAGAACATTCCTGTTCATTTTTGATAATTAATGTGAACAATCGGTTTAGTTTTTAAGCAATACAAGCTTATGTATTTGAAAGTATACTAAGTGTACCGAAATTCCCCAATCCTTATTTAATTTTAAAGCATATATAAAATCTGCAAATAGATCTTTAAAATTTTTATAAATTTTTTGTTTTGGTTTAAGAACTATATATTAATATATTACAATTATTTTGAAGAATAAAAAAATTAAGATAATTTCTTGTATCTTGTAAATAATTAAAAGCTTATATTTGATTGAAATTGGAAATATTATTGTAAATCATTTGCAACTATTGTTTGTTTATAAAAAGTACAATTTTCTAAAATCTATTAATAACATTGCCATTTCCTTTATAAGTTCTTCAATTACCCAAGCGATTATAAATTGACTGGACTAAAGGCGACTTCATAAACAAACAGTTAGTTAGTATTAGCTATGATAATCGCTTATCGCCGGCCGATTTCTGTCGTTGGGCAATAGGCATCTGTCTGGTGCTGTCCACCAACTACGTAATAATCAAGCCGCAACTACTAACTCTAGATAAGAGACCTTTTATATGTATATATAGAATCCATAAGTTACTTGCACTTTTTTCGTTAATCCAAATTGAATCTTAAGCCATAAATCTGCAACTCGAGTGGCTCAATATATAAGTAAGTAAATATTGCCTTGAGATTTGGGAGTTGATTTGATCGAAAAGTCCAAATGGAAACAATTATTTATAGTATAATTCTTTTATTGAGCGTGTGTCAGTTATAGCACCTGCAATTTCTAGGAAATGGGGCAAATATATTATAAATACTGATCAACTAAAATTACTGGTCAATATAAACGTCAGGCTGTCTGTCACTGTTAGTTCGAAGGCGTTTTGCACGCGTTTTAAAACGCGACAAATCAAAGTTGCAGCTTAATCGAAGTCTTTGCCAATTGTTTGCACATCTGCTTGGACTTGATTGGCCCTTGAACTAGTTGGGCTTGCCGCAAAGTAAAGCCCAAGAAAATCCCAGACATTTAGCAATTGCGTCAATTGCTAAGGCAGGTGCTAAAAAGCTTTCGACCGGATACGCAAATTTCTTGTTTGAAAAGTGTTGTCAAGACAGCTTGTTTATCATCTAATATGGCATTTTTTGTATGTCACTTAATAGTATTAAGTCCGGCGTCAGCTAAAAATTGTATTTAAATCATTATACCAGACACTTAAAGTTGATTATTAACAATTAATACTCTTTCTTAAGAGCTTTGCTTGCCTTTCGAAAAAGAAACGTTTGCTAAGCTACTTTCCCACTAGCTAGTAGGCTTGACTTTAGATTGCTACTTAAGATTGGTCGATTGATAGATTATATTTGTAATATATCATAGATTACTTTTTTGATATATACTGAATGTTCGGGTTTTCATAAAATGTATTCCTAATGCAATGTCTTCAATTCCAACCTTTTCTGTAGCTACTTCTTTACCAGAGTTTTTTTTCAACTCTTAAAAGTTTTTCATATTATTTCACTTGTGTAAAGCTAAGCTTGTTTAATGGCCACTCTACTATACACGTTAATAGGAGTTACTTACCAAAATATGCACACAGTGCGTGCAGAGAAAGCCGACGATGAGTGTCATGATGCCGCCAAACAACAAACCGCCATTGTGAAAAGCCATGGGCATGGCCAGGATGCCAGTGCCCAGCGAACTCTTGAGCAGATGGGCCAAAGCCCCGCCAGCGCTGGCGCCATTAGGATCGCGATGTTCAAACGGACAGTACTCGGCCTCCTCCAGTTGATCCTTCTCTGTCAAGTTGGCTCTGTGAAGACCGAGAGAGTATGAGAAAATGTATATTAAAGCGGAGATGACTGCTACGTACTTGGAGTTTAAGTCTTTTAGACTTTCGACCGCAGTGTTATAGGCGGGCGGCAAGGCATCTGTCTTCAAGCTCGCATTCGAAGACCGCGCCGTATTCGGTTCGGCGACGGCCGTATCCGGCGTAAATGCCTTATTGTCCGTCATCTGTGGATGGTAAAAAGGTTATGGTAAATGGTTAGTTCTGATGATTATTCTGTCCAGGGCAGGGCTAATCCACTTGAGAGATTTCCCTGGCGCATGCCAGTCCATATCTTATCACGGTCAGTTTCAAGTACTTGTTCTTTACGTTTATATCGCAAACAAGTCGAGACTGCTTTTAGCACATCTATAAAACTATGCGAATCGCAAATACGATCGTTATCTGAATTTCTCGGACCGTCCAGTTGTTGACGTGTGAACTGCATTCATAAATTTTACGTAGTGCTTTCGGCCGGAGTTATAAATCCGGGGTTATAATTCCGATATAGACCCCATAAAAGTCCCCCAAAAACTGCCGGCCACATACAGTTCATAATGGTAATAATCATGGTCACATGCCCAACTTAATTGTCGCCCTCATCCAATCTCGCTCTCTCTCGCCCACTTCCCCTCTCTTTCTACGAGTGGTAATAGGCAAATTAGATTAGAGCTAATCACTAGTTAATGTTATTTATGGCTTTCGTAAAGAGCAGGATGATTATACTAGTTAGCAACTTGGTTTGGGGTTAGCCACACTTTTAACATGTACTTTTATTAGCTGATTAGATTAAAGGAGCACGTGGTATAGTGCTCCTTTGAAGCGTTGTTGTAATATCACTTGATTACTCATGCTTGGAGTCAATGCAAAACTGGGAAAAGGACATTCTTGAGTTTTACAAACAAATATATATTTATATATTAATAAATACATATTTGTATGTTTAAATACACATATAGAAACCATATACTATTATTAAAAAATTGAATTGCATTTACTTCTTCCGAAAATAATTAAATTTAATCTTCTAAAATAAAAATGATTAACAAAAACGTGAAAAATTAAGAGCAGATTGTTTGAGGAGTTGCAATTTTGAACTTGTTTAAGTTTTGAAGTCACACTCGATTTATGATAGAAAAACAAATACAGCTTACGAAACTATCCTTTCGTTCAGATTTTTTCCTAAATATAATAAATATTAACTGCTGTTCATATCATAAACAAAGTAATTTTTTGATTAGCTCATTTAGATTTGAAGAGCTTTAAGTATATTTTATGTTGCAGGATAATTGAAAACTTATTGAAAACAAATTCAGTTTATTTGGAAACGTAAACAGCACAATTCTAAAATTTATATCACATTGTTTTTCGATTTATTTACAAATTAATTAATAAATTAATTAAATTAGTAAATTATTTAATCAAAACCATTTACATCAACAACAAGCCGAATAATTACTTTCATTCATAGATGCAGACATATGATTCATTCAGAAAATGGAAATTTTTATACATTTGATTGATAAGTTTTTGCTTAATTGCCTTAATCCCCTATTTCCTGTCAGTAAAGACGTTAATCAAAAAAACTTACGCTTTGTTAGCTATAATTATTATTATTCTCTTGATTTAATTGAATGTAGAACTAGCTAGGATGTAGAACCGAACGCGGCCTCGGGCCAATTGCAACTGAATGCTTGGGCCGGCTACAATGTTGGAAGTCGTTGCCAAAGAAGGTGTCCGAAAGATAACAACTCTATATGGCTGAAATTCGAAGCAGCGACAATTAATACGGTAACACAGCGAAATGCTTCTCATAAATACTCAAAGCTACTTTTAAAATCAATTATAAAGCTGTATTCGATAACCGATAAGGCTGATAAGCAGTTGCTGTTAACGTTGCCTACTTAGATTTAATGCAGTCTAAAGAGAACTCAGCAAAATGCTTTATAATTAAGATTTCGCAACATTTGTATGTTAGTTGAGGCTTCACTAGAAAAAACGAAAGTTCATTTTATAATAATTGACATTAAATGTTGTACACGTATCAAGAAAAAGATACGCTTAAGAAATTGTACGAACATCATTTATCAGCAGCTTGATAAGATTAGTCAAGCAATTAAGGACAATATATATATATATATAATATATTATCGATATGTTTTTATATCTGCGACATTGACATGCTTTAAAGTTATGACAGTTGTAATAGTCTATATAGCTAGTTACTATAGTTATGGGCGCCGAGTTATGAACGGGTTCATGGGAAATTTATTGAATAAAACTTTACGAGGTTCGATTAGAAATGTTGAACTCGTATTTTATTTGAGCACTGGTTAGTCGCCAATTATAATTATTATTTATATTGTTGTGGATTTTACCATGTCACGCGGACGATCGATAGGATCGTGAATCATGGCGGACATTTGATTAGTTCTCGCTGTCATATCACTGTCCGCGAATTTAGACGAATGATTTATGCCAATTGGCGCCTGGTGGGCGTTGGCGTTATAATCGACGCTTGACTGCCTCCTGCCAGCCATGATTTAATTAATAATCATAACAGCTTATCAAAAAGTGCGTCACGGAATCGTTTATGATTATGCTAAACTGGCAATGACATCAGTTGCCGGCATAGAACCTAATATAGGGCGTAATATCTTGTTTAATCAACGCAGCAGACCAAAACTTTATTAGTTGATACATATTTCTGTACATTTGTTTGGGAATATATATACAATTTTTTATTTGCTTATAATAGTTATTAATATATAGATTGCGAAATTTAATATAACAATTTAGCAGCATTTGTAAAAAGTTTTTGTTTCGTAAATGAGATATTTTGAAATTGATTAACATGAGTTGATGCTATTTGTGTTTTAAATTAAATTCGTTTATCTTTTAATTTTAATTTTTTTATAACTCCTAATTTTGTAAGAAACTGAAAATTCTAGAATCACATTTTGTAGCATAAAAGTTCAAGAAACTCCTTTGATGCACTGATTAAAAAATATTAATACACAATACTCAGTAGATAATATTTACGTATATGTACTCACTGAAGGCTTCGCTATAAAGTACCTTTTGTCGAGAGTTTTGCATTACTTGTTTCATTAATATCATTTTCTTTTTGTTTTTGATTCACGTGCTGCGAAACTTGTTGTCCAACACGCGTAATTATCAATAACGCAATTCATCAATTCGCAGCTGGCGGTTAATGTTTTTTCAATGGAGCTGCTCAGTGTCAAAAATCAAATTCGCGTCTAGGTAAGTAGGTTCGCTATCGATATGCAAAAATATATATATACTATATATAAAAAATTAAACATGCGTTGCATAATTAATGAAGCCGCTGACGAAGTCTTCATGCTGAACTTGTATATTGCAATCGCGTTCGTGAATTACAAAGCCTTGCCTAGATATTAGGTAAGATCGCCGAGAACAGCTCATAAATTAGCTCGTGCTTATGGAGAATATTTAAGTCCCAAACAGCCGACAGATACAACAAAGTCAATAATCGTCTCTCAACAGATCTCTAAATTATTGAAACTATGGAATAAATATCCACCGACTCAATACATTTAATATATGAGAGTAATATTTCAGTTCTAATCGTTTTAAATTATTAAATAAATATAAAAAAAATGAAAAATCAAGGAATAATTGAAATCAGTGTCAATATGTACATATCAGCTCAATAAATCTAGCTGTCTAAAATAAATAATTAGCGAATTTTGGCAATTGCCTAAAACTCAATACAGATTACAATAATTTAGAGTAAATGAAATTATGTTAATTACCTGCTTTTAGATGGACTTCTACAACTACTCCTATCTTTTTTGTTCCTATGGCAACTATATAAGATATTTTTATTCCATTTATTGTAGTTCATTGTTAGCTAACTCAAGTCTAGACTTCTTAAAATTCACAAATACTTTCAGGAAGGGAAACTTGTATTTTAAGCCTGCTCGTTTAGAATATAGAATATAATAATATATTTAATCAAGATTTTGTTTCTAATTGTCCGTTTATACGTCTTCAGGCGAATATTATAAATAAATTATTTCTGATAGTTAAAACATATTGTAATACGATTTATATAAAGCTAATTTACTAGTAACTAACTTGGCACTCAGACTAAAAGGAGTTTCTTAAAGATTATTAAGATCGTTGCAGATCTATTTAGTTTGTATGGAACCAAAGATAACAAATAAATATTGTTAACAAATAAGAGTGTATAAAATGCACATATATATTTATAAATACATATATATAATAATATGTATATCAAGAGAATACTCTTAAAACGTAATACATTTTACAAAGTTATTATGCATTTTCTGCTTCCAACAGACGATGTTATTTAGATCACTTTCATATACATGTGAATTTTAATGTTTAATATAAAATAATTCTGGTTCAAAAATAAACTTTACATGCTCTTAACAGCTGTTTGTTTCATTTATCTTATCCTCTTCACTCTCTCCATACTTTTTTTATTTTAATTTTAACTTGAGCTTAAAATTATAATTTTAATTTTAATTTAATTACCTTCTCGCAACTGTTGCTAATTGAATTATATATTGAAAGAAGTATATTTTGTTATTGGTTTGTTGACTTTGACAATTTGTCTGTGTCTAACATTGACATGAATTGTTTGGTTTTCAATCTTTATTTTTTTTATTCCTTTGTTTCGCAACTTAGCGTCAATTAACGCCCGCACAAAATGCCTGGACGAAAATCGCGTGAAAGTCGTGCGCGATTTGTAAACACTAAAGATTGAGTTTAATTAATTTTATTGATTTCGTTTTACACAATGTCAATTGTTTTAAAAAGGCTTTGTGCTGCCTGTGTGAGTGTAAATAACGGTTATTTTAAGTAGTCACTAAATTCGATTTAAAAGTCGCGCGCTTTTATTTTCAATTTCCGAGCTGCGACTGCGTGCGCCTTGTTGTTAACGCTCTGGCGATCAGTTAGTGACTGATATTAAGCCAATGTTTTTGCTTGAATTTGTTGCTGCTGCTGCCGGCTATAAAGTACACACATCGCAACACACACACCTGTCGGATGAACTGTTGATGGGAGAGAGGGGCTAGCCAGCAATTAGCGCAGCGGACAATAAACGAAACCGTGACGCTGTCCTCTCTCTCACGCAGTGCGTGAATGGGTTTGTGTATCAGTGTGTGTGAGTGTATGCTTTCTATACCAAACCGTTTTGGAAATTGTACAGCAAGACAAGTCTACCTGTGCGTTGCATTGCATTGCATTGCATTGCTCATACGCAGCGTTTGCCCGCTCGCACAGGGTGCTGTGCACCCACAGCAGCAGCTGCAACTTAAAACGGTAGCTAATTAAGGCTATTTAGATAACTACAGCGAACAAAGCATTAAAATTGAAACGAACGCTGATAAGTTAAACTTTTCAAGATCATAAACGATTTGTAAAACTTTATCTTCATCTGGCAACCAAATGTTGCCCCGAACTTGAAAAAAACTAGTTAAGAAACCAAACATTTGAAGCTGTTCTTGAAATTTAAAAATTGAACTCAATACAAGATTACTCATGAGCTAAATTGACTTCATTTTTTTAAGTAGACGAGTTTGCATAAGACTTCTAAAGTTGTTTAAGAATATATATAATCTTATGTACATATCTAGGTCAATGTAACTAATATATGTTGGCTGTATTTAGACTAATGTAATTTTCTTGCTTTATCTACGTTAATTGTGTAATATCTTGATATTATATATTTTACTCGAGTCAATGTTAATTATGTATTATATATATATATATATATATATATATATATATATAATATTATATTATGTATTATGTATATATTACATTTATATATATATGGGTCTATATATAATCTACCTAATTTTGGTAGGGTGTTGTTGCGACTATTATGTAAATATAGCCTTTTGAATAAGTTTCCAAATGAGTTAAATTTGGCATTAACTTATTTTCTTAATTAATTAATGCGAAAATAACACTTACAGTGTGGCTTACCTAATCAGAAAAGCCGTTTATCTAAAAAATTGCTTGAATTCTAAATGAAATTGTAGAGACTTTACTATAAATCGCAAAAGTTCAATCAACTCTTATTTTAAATACGCTTCAAACGAACTCAAATCTTTGATTAAACAAAAGCTGGAGCACCCTGTATTTGGCAAGAGACACAGTGTCTGCCAGCATCAACGAATTTGGCTTGGCGTTTGACGAGAAGAGTGAGATATACGGAGAGAGGCTTGGCGAAGACTTGGTCAAATTGGAGTGCAATGAACATTGTTAAGCTAAGAATTCGAGAGGCGCCTTAAAGAGCGCTGCGCTTGGCTATTCGCAGAGCCCAGGCGACAGCTAAAAGTACTTCAGCAATAAGGCAATTACTTAGAGTCTGTTGTAGTTGCAGTTGCTAATGTTGTTGTTGCTGTTGTCGCCTTGAGGCGTCTCTTTAAGTCAGATCATGGAGTTTAGTGATTAACTTGTTTCAAGTGGACATTGTTGCTGTTTGCTTGTTGTCGTTGTTGCTTTTGTTGCTCTTGCACTCGATTTTGCTGCCTGTCCATAAAATTGCCGTTGCTTGTTCCATTCAGTGGGCCAGTGGAAAATTTTTGAATCACAATTTTCACGCGTGACGCATTTTAAAATGTTTCTTTCGAGTTCAGCTGGAGTGACTTAATTAAAGCTCCGAGAGACGCGATTGATTTATGGATAACAAAAAGCAAAAACTTTAAGCATACATTTACATTTAACGGCAAACGGTAATTGGCTAAAAGTAATTTGTGATTAAAAAGTAAAAACCTGCTTGACGTAATTGTCACAATTGATTGGCTCTTAATTCGTTGGCTCAGGTGTATCTTTAATTTGTACTACAACCAGCAATATAGATAAGCTAGACTGGATATACGCAATACGTGACGTATACGCAATGCTCGAGGTTGAGATAAATAGTAGGAGTGGAGCTGTACAGAAGAGCTATGCTTTATCAGTGCAACATAAGTCGAAGGTCAAGTGCATCAATAATTGGCCAAGATCTGATATGGATAATATACAATGTACAGTGATTACAAATAATGATGATGAGTATATATTGTCCGATGACAATTGATGTCAGGGAATGTACAAATAAATGAAAATCAGAACAAATAACTTGTCGAGAGTTCCTTATCTGGAGATACCCCGCACTTAAATTTATACAAAACACTTTATGTATTTGCTTTGATCTCCATTGTGTTTCCTTTCTTCAGCCAACATTAGACTGCATTGAATAAGTAGTCATAAATAGCTTCTGCATTTCTTTGGTTTAACATTTTTAGGGCTTAAAGATGACATTGTTATTCCAGGGTATACACATAAAAACAAACGGACAGTGCAAAAATCTTAAAAAATAATATATATATTCGAAAATTTTCTTGAAGAGATCTTAGAAATGATCTCTGAAAAGAAGATAAATAAAAACTTAGAATTATTTAATCAAAAAAATTTTCGAGTTTTGAATTTAATATACAACAAATTGATCTTGAAAGTCAATATTTATCGATGCTCAGATATACAGAGTCTTCTTATCTGTTGAATAAATAAACTTTATTGATGTAGGATCTGCGACATGCATTTGTATTTGTATTTTGACAACTTAAGATACAGGGTATCATATATTTGCCATCTTAAGTCATATTCCGTTTGCTGTCTTTCGACTTGACGTGTGCGCAATTTCAATAATTGTTAACACTCGACATGTCTCAGTTTTAGAGTACAAAAATACCTGGAAAACATTTTATCATTTGTATTGTGATTGTTGTTTTTTATTTTTTCCAGGGTGTACGCAATGCAAATTGTGAGCCCAACATACTTCATGCAAATGCAAATATGTACATGTATATTTTGTTGAAGCAAATAATGTACAAAGATCATTTAAAATGCATGAAACTCGTTTTTAGCGCGAATTCCGTAGTACGTAATACTTTTTGTCTTTTTTGGAATTATAACAAAAAATAATAAAAATAATAATGTTGAATCGAATATGCTTCCGCAATTGGTTCCGGATTAAATGGCCCTCGAATTGTACAGTATCTATATTTTGTTTTGTTTTGTTTTTATTTTCGAGATCGTATTGCAGGCCATGCCGAGTTCATCATCTAAGCAATTAATTAATTAATTGATTAGTATGCAAAGTGCGCTTGGCATTAGTTGTCTCTAGATTGTCGCATCCGATTTGCCAAATGACCGATACTGGGACTGAGTCAGCAGCCGCCAGTCAGAGTTAAGTCTGAAATACATATAAGCACAGACGTCGCGCGCCCGCACAGCTCTCATCCAGCTAAGAGTGCGGCTACTGACCTTGCATGATGTCAAACAAGGTGCTGCATGTTAATTGAATGGGCGTTTGATGTCTACACAGATACACTGTCTGCCTGCCTGACAGCCTTAAGGGCGTGGCAAGTGGGTCAGCTGTTGTAGGAGACAAGCAGCTGCTAGTCAAAAGATGATTGCCTCCTTGAGAGAGCCATGCACCCGCTATAGCTATTTGTTTTAATAAGCAGTTGACGCCATTCATTGAGTGTACAAGTTTCTATAAAACCGAAAACAAAAGGTCTTTGTCGCCAGATATACAAAAAACAAAAAAAAAAACAACTTAATGTTTAATGTTTTGATAAAAGCTTACATATATCACATATACATATATACGTTCACAAATTAATCCAATAACTGAAGTTGAGGAATGCAGCTGCTTTCTAAACAATGCTCAATAGAATTTCTATTTCTATGGAAATTACGATTTCCGCATAGGAGGTCGAGGCGGAGGTGGATTGTTTTTTGCATCGACTTGATTTAGTGGGAACAAATAATCATGGCACGAACATTCAGGCTGAGATTTAATTATAGTAATTATCCATTCAACATGACTAACTGCTGCAACTATTTGGCGCTGCGTCATATGGTCTAACAATATATCACAAACAAAACCGTAACAATTCTTTGTGAAATTGTAGAAGATTAGATACTCTACTATTTGAATAATGGATGCAATTTATATGGGTAAAATACTACATATGTCTATATAGTAAAGTTTATACAGAAATAGGCACACACTCAAGGTTTGAAACATGTGAAATACATTGACTTTTGTAGTATTTATCTTCGTCTAATTTGCAAGTGTTACAAGCTAGAAGACATGCGTATGATACCTTTTCAATGACTTTAAAAAGACAATTATGATGGCAAATTTGCCTGGCAGCTTCATGGAAATATGTGATTTACAATTGAATTACTTATTATTCAAATTCATTTCAAGTAACAATAAAAAGATTAAAACAAAACTAATAAATGCAACTGCTTAAAGCTGAAAATTAGACTCAATTTATCTCTACGACACGCTTATTCGCCCTTGTATACAGGATTGCGCTTCTCGGCGAATGCCGCCAGCCCTTCTAGACGATCCTTGGTGGGTATGACCTGAGCATAGCATACTTCCTCGATAGAGTAGCCCGTGCTGAGATCCACTTGCATGCCCTTGTCTATGGCTAGCTTAGCCATGCGCACTCCCACAGGTCCATTGGGCAATATTTCCTCAGCTAATTTCACCGCCTGTTGATAGGCCGCATCCTTGGTGTCGTTTTGCGGAACCACATGATTGACCAGACCCAGTTCCTTCGCCTCGGCGCCGTCCAGCACACGAGCTGTGAATATCAGCTCCTTAGCCAGTGCAGGGGAGAGAATACGAGGTAAACGCTGAGTGCCGCCAGCGCCGGGTATAATGGCCAGACGTGTCTCCACCAATCCCATCTTGGCATTCGAGGAAGCTGTACGTATATCGCAGGCAAGGGCCATTTCTAAGCCGCCTCCTAAGGCTGCCCCATCCAGGGCCGCAATCACGGGCATGGGCAGTTGCTCAATGCTAATAAGCAGGCCTCGTAATTGAGTCACAAATTCTTTAGTCTCCTCAGTACTCATGCCTGAAGCAAAATAGTAAGTGAACAAAATAATTTTGAAAAAATTAAATTTGACTGGAGATGCCGGGGATTGAACCCGGGGCCTTTCACATGCAAAGCGAACGCTCTACCACTGAGCTACATCCCCTTGTGAAAACCTCAGCCCCTACCTTTACGCTCTTTCAAATCGGCACCGGCACAAAATATGCCAGGTGTGAGACTGCGCAGCACAACAACACGTGAACCGTTATCCCGCTTAATATCCTGCAAGATATCACTGAAAGTGTTGACTAGGCCGCGACTAAATGCGTTTTTCGCAGCTGGTCTGTTCAGACCCAACACGGTTATGCCCTGCTGTTTGCCTTGCAGACGTTCCACTAGGACTTCGGTGCCATCTCCTAATTCCGCGTCAATGGAATAGCATCTGCTTACAACTTTTAATGGCAGCGACCTACGCGTTATTAGCTTTGCAGCATGTTGCAATAACAGTGACATTTTTTAATAATGAAAACAACAAAACAATTAAAGTATGAGAAATACAAATTGTTATAAAACCGGCAGCAATAGCAAAGAACGCAGGGATGAAGAAGCAAAACCTTAAAAAAAAATCTACGCGAATCTTTAATACCCTTACAGTTGCCTAATAATATTAAAACACATCACTACTTGATCCACTTTAGCAAATTAATCAGCAACTAGTAAGTGAAAATGTATAATAATAATACAAATAAATTGAATTTACAAATATCTAAAACAAAATAATAATATAGCAAGAACTATTTAGAGACAGACATTGCTGGTCCAAAAAGCTTACAAATCATTCCAGTTTACGCAATAGCATTAGAGTATATAAAACAGCTGTTGCGCTAGTGTTGGCAAACACGAACAATTAATACATTTTAGTAGTTATCGATAGTCGATTAAATCATTTTCTTAAGCTAAATTTACAGCCGGGCACTTCTAAATTATATTTTCCAACTAAAAATTTGTAAATAAAGTGCAAAATAGCTGAATGGCTTTGGAACTAGAAGGGTACTCAATTTGACTAGGTACCATTCCAAGCAGCCACACGCGAAACAAAGTAGTAGCGAAAATATATACACTTTGCCTTCGCATGACGTAGTCCGCCTAAAAAGTGAAACGGCAAGAAAATAAAAAAAAAAAAACAACGACGTCAACACAGATTGAAATCTGTGAGGTGTGCGCTGTGTAAGTAGCATATTGACTTGCGGTTCTAAATGAATTCATTAAGTTATTGTCTATTTCAGAGCACTTAACCTGCAGCTTCAATATGTTGATGCGCAGTGTGTGGCTGCTGCAGCGCAGACATCCAAACTACACACGAACCGCTGTCCATTGGAGCCGGCAGCACTTCTCTTGGTGTCATGGCTTGCAGCGCAGTGAATGTGTAACGCTTCGGTTACAGGCTCGCAGTCGTCTGGGTGGGGGCACAACATACAATACGTGCTCCATGCTCCTGTTGCGTTCTAGCTCCAGTGACAAGGGGGGCGGTATTAAAGATAAGGGGCCTGAGACTTCAACTGACCTGCAAAATACAGATGACGGAGTAAACCAATTGCCCGCCGTGCAGACAAAAAATTTTGAAATAAAAACCTCAAAGGGCATTCTCTCAATAACCACCACCATCGAGGACTCGAAGATCAATGAAATTGTTTTCGAAAAGGCCGAGTTATCGCCGGTGGGCAAGCTAAATGAGCCTGTATTACATGTTATGCAAGGCAGAGAAGACGTCACCACATCAGCACCGCCACCAGAGTTAATTCCTACGGCGCAGCAGCGAAAGGACGAGTGTGCACCCTCGTTGATGCCACCACCGAAGCGACCGCGCTTTGATTACCGAATGTCACTCGAGCGAAATTTTATAACACCAGCGCGTGCCCTATCCGATTTCATGCTAACTGTCAAAGATTTAGAGAAGCTGCCAAAAATAAAGCGCAGATCCCCCTACGAACAAGAGCCACCTATGACGGTATATTGGCGACGCGATGTGGAAGCTAAGGCACTCGAAGTCTGGGGCTCAAAGGAGGGTATTGTTCGGGAGAGACTTAAACGTGATATGGAGCGTAAGCAGTATCAGCAGAGTAAGTGAATCTATATCAGGTTATACTCTTTTGCTAATGCATATACGATCTCAGATGTATTTACAGTGAAACGTCGCCTACGTGACTATCGGCGGGAAATGGGCTCCCGCACCAAGGGCATGCTGGACTCGAATATAAATACGGAAAAGTCCGGGCAAGTAGTGGCTACAGCCATTGCCATGTAAGTCCGTTCGACTTTTTTAAGTTCTTAAATGATATATTCCTTATCCATTGTGTTAGCAACGCAGCCAATCTGCTGTTTAAGGCAGGCGGCTGGTTATACTGCGGTTCGCACAGCATGTTTGCAGAGGTCATTCACTCTCTTGCAGATCTGATCAATCAGCTGATATTAGCTTTTGGTATCTACAAGTCGTCACAGTTACCCGATACGGATCATCCTTACGGCTATATGAACATGCGCTACGTCTCTTCACTCATCTCCGGCGTGGGCATCTTTTGTGTAGGCAGCGGCTTATCCATTTACCATGGCATCGAGGGTATGCTGCATCCAGAACCGATCACTGATCTGTTCTGGGTGTATTGCATTCTTGCTGGCTCCCTTGTCAGCGAGGGCGCAACCCTCGTGGTGGCCATCAATGAATTGAAGCGGGCCGCTAAGGAGAATAAGTTAAGCTTTAAAGAGTATGGTAAGCAGACGCAATATTAACTGTGTCACTGCATGCCTACTGAACCATTTTTCATTATAGTTCTTACTGGCAAAGATCCTTGTGTGAATGTGGTGCTGTGCGAGGACGCAGCTGCAGTGACTGGCGTCGTGGTTGCCGGCAGCTGCATGGGATTAAGCAGTTTAACTGGTTCTCCGGTCTTCGATGCTGTAGGTTCTTTGGTAATTGGCGGTCTACTGGCTGCTGTTGCTTCCTTCATCATTTATACGAATGCCAACGCGTTGGTTGGCGTTTCCATTCCCATGGATCGCTTAGAAAAGATCAATACGGCACTTGAGGCTGATGTGATGATACGTGCTATTTACGATGTCAAGGGTATAGGCATTGGCAATGGACGAGTACGATATAAGGTGTGTTGAGAGTACGAATAGCATAGAAACTTGACTGCTAATGACACCTTCTTACTTGCAGGCTGAGCTCGACTTTGATGGACGTGAACTAACGCGTTCGTATTTAGATAAGCAGGACCTAAACAAGTTGCTTGCGGTGGGTAAAAGTTATAATCGACTTTGGCTTAAATGCTATATCTACTTTAATATGCAGATTGTGCGCGGATTTCGTAATGTGGATGATTTGGAGGGCTTCTTGCTGGATCAGGGGGAGAGTATTGTGGACCTAATGGGTGGAGAAATTGATCGAATTGAAATGAATCTTCGCGTGAGTTGAATATTATTTTGCTTGAATTATTTATATCTTTTTATATATATATATTTATATATATCTGTTTTTTATATCTCTTTTTTTATCTGTGCAGACGCATTTTCCAGAAATTCGTCACGTCGATCTTGAAATACTCTAAAGCCTTCCTTGCTTGCTGCTAAATATTGTTTTGGACCTGAGGGCTCTCAATCAAAATTTCCTGTGTAATTTTCATGTTCTATACATACACATATATAGATATATATATATAGATATATATATTTATATGTTTCTTTCGGTTGTGTACGTTAGTGGACCTCGGTTACTTAGATGTTTGGTATATGTCTGGCTGGCTACTTTTTTATATTGTTCTCGGGTAGGTTACAAACAAAATTAACTTAAAATTTAAATTGTCATATTCAGATCTAGTGAAAATTCTTAGGCTGCATGATAGCTATTCAAAAATTCACCGTATCACATGTTTGCCTAAAATTTTAATATATATTGTGAAAAATAAAAATAATGTTTAAATTGAATTTTTAAGAAGGCAAAAACGAAATCAAACTAATTATTGAACTAGTCTGGCAACGCCGTTTTTGCTCGTTTTCTCTCCGGCTCTGGCTACGTGTGTGCTTGGCTCTCTGTTTACATATCGAACTTGAAGCAGTCACAGTCGCAGCGCTGTCGACGTAGCTGTTAACTGAGCATTTCATAGAGCACGCGACTTTCGCTACTGGCCTTTTTGCAGTGTGAGGAAGAAAGAATGCGAGAGTCAGCGACGCCGGCGCAGACGGTTAAACGGGCTGAGTTTAAAGAGCGGCCAAAGCTTTGGTCAGTCGCAATTGGCGCGTGCTAAGAAGCGGTTTAATTGGACCTGTGTCAATTATTGAATTTAATTTTTTGGCGCAATAAGGTAAAAATAAAAAAGTTAAAAAGTGGTTTTAAGTGCGTGCAGTGCTCATAAATTAATTCAATTGCTTGCACGCTCAGCCATTAGCGCCTCATTATATTTTGCTTAAAAAATTAAAATTATGGAAAGTGCATAAAGAGCTGGCATTGTTTTCATACAAAGGCGAATGAGTAACAGCAAAAAAAAAATATAGGGGTGAGTCAAAATTTTTTAATACATAATTTTCATTTGAATATTTATTATAATAATAGCTGCCCCTTTCTTAGCAGTGGTTAACATACAGGCTTCTAGTGTGGTGTTCGTCAACAGAGCTTTCACTGTATGTCTGGTCGGATTCATACTTGGATTGTTTACTGTTTGGTCAGTTATTTGACCCATTAATGGGTGGAAAGAGCTGAACACGCCGCACATTCAATTCACATGCTAATTAGCTGTTGGCTGGGCCCAGTTTATGCAGACATAAATGAATTCGTCTCGATTGACATTTTGATACTAATATTCATACATTTAAAAGTAAACAAATCCATTATGCAACTTTTTCAGTTATTCCATTTCTTAAAGAAACTTGACATTCTGCTGATTCAGTTGCAGTTCCAATTCGATTTCCAGTTTTAGTTTTTATGGCCTCATCCAAAGAAAATGAATTGGCAATTTTTTATTTACGCACGTTCCACTGTAATGGAAGCTCAATGTCAGTTGCTATACTTAGACAAAAGTCAATCAATTGCCAATGGCAGATATTCCACTTAGCTTTACGAAGATGCTTAAATTAGCATACATAACATACGTATTCTAACTTATACGTACATCTGGTATACTATGTGACCAGGTCCGACTCTCGAATTTCGCAATTAGTGCCACTAATAAGCTCTAATCGTTGCACATAAATACCTGCCCCTAACCCATTCAATGGTGCAGTCATAATAAGCAAATATGTTTTAGTGGAGTATGTGCGACTAGAAAATGCCCTTCAAATCCAATAAGCAAAAATCTTTTAGTATACGACTTCTGAATGTCCTACAAATAGCTTCAAAATAAATATATTTTGTTCAATGTTCTATGATTGAAAATGTATTCATGCTAATATATTTTATATTATATATATTTATAAAGGAATAAATTAAGTCTTCACATATATCCCAATCTGACTTGAGCCCTTGGTCTCTGATGCTATGCAAGCAGACATGTCTCTATCAGTCTTGGCCGTTGCTCGTCTCTTACTTATGTGTTCACAACTTTAATGTACCCTCTTTTATGTTTATGTTGAGTACAGGGTATAAACAATGCAAATGAGCCAACGACTTGCAATGAAACTCCAGCTTCAGCTGCATCTCTGCCTTCTGCTCGTCGGGTATGCCATTGCACAGCCGCACATCATCTTCATATTGGCCGATGATCTGGTAAGTGAGTAGATGAAGTTGCAGAAGAGCTATGTGATATTGGTTAAGTTGTTGTTTAATTTGCCGCTCACTTTTTTGCAGGGCTTCAACGATGTGGGCTTCCGCGGCTCAGCGCAAATTCCCACGCCCAATATCGATGCGCTGGCCTATTCGGGTCTCATACTGAATCGCTACTATGTCAACGCCATTTGCACACCTTCGCGCTCAGCGCTCATGACTGCCAAATATCCCATACACACAGGTGACCTTTTTGTCTATAGAGGCCTAAAACAGATTTTTTAGCCCAATTCTCTCGTTCAGGCATGCAACACACTGTGCTCTATGCCGCTGAGCCGCGTGGCCTGCCTTTGGATTTGAAAATATTACCGCAATATCTGAACGATTTGGGGTAAACTACAACTTACCACATATTGGAATTGCTTGTTATCATTAATTGCCTCTTCCCCATTCAGCTACACCTCGCACATAGCTGGCAAGTGGCATTTGGGCCATTGGAAACGCGTCTATACACCGCTTTATCGTGGCTTTAGCAGTCATGTGGGCTACTGGTCGGGCCATCAGGATTACAGTGATCACTCGGCTGTGGAGCACGGCCAGTGGGGCCTGGATATGCGCAACGGCACAGACATAGCCTACGATCTACACGGTCAATATACCACAGATGTGATTACCCAGCATTCGCTCAATGTGATAGCCAAGCATAATGTGACTAAGGGTCCACTGTTTCTCTATGTGGCACATGCGGCAGTGCATTCGGGCAATCCCTATAATCCGCTGCCTGCCAAGGATGATATAGTGCGTCGCTTGGATACGATTCAGCATTATAAGAGGCGCAAGTATGCGGGTGAGTGGAGCTTGATCGCAAGTTGCAACGTTTATAATGTTTAGCATAACTGTGATAGAGCGGGTTACGTAAATGAGCTAGTGCTTGGCTTTGGGCACTTCAGTTCTTTGGGTCTTGAACGGAGCTGTTTAATATTTTTGAAATATTCGTTTCATTTAGCTACTCAGCTGATTTAGCTGTCGATTATAAATGATTAAGCAATTGCATAATTGAGCAATAAAAACTCTTAAAAACTGATTAAATATTATGACTCATTCATGAACTGCTGAACTGAACCAGTAAATGAAGTGAACCATTTGCGACTCCTAAATAAATGAGTTAACTTATGCCTCAAGAATAACAAGACTTGTTATTTATACATAATCTCATAGAGCAGTTAGTCGAGTCACAGTCCAAACTCTCAGTTTTAAAGTTATCTTAAATATTTTTAAAGCATTTGGCTATGCCGACGTTGTCTTAATTAGAGCATATCATGTTGCCAAGAACTTCTTAGCTTTGATTCTAAACTATGGCAAAAATGTTACTAAGATCATAATGCCAATCGAGAACTAGAAATACTAAATTAATGTAAGCTCTCCAAACTAAACTGACTTGATTGAATTGAAATCTATATACTATGTAATGTAACTACATATATATAGAATTATATGCTAAAGCTTTACATTTTTGCCTTTTAGCATTGGTCACCGCCATGGACGACTCTGTGGGGCAAATTGTGGAGCAGCTGCGCAAGTCGCGCATGCTCGAGAATTCCATCATCATCTTCTCCACGGACAACGGCGGCCCAGCGGAGGGTTTCAACTCAAATTTCGCCTCCAACTATCCGCTGAGGGGTGTTAAGAACACGCTGTGGGAGGGCGGAGTGCGAGGTGCTGCTCTGCTGTGGTCCACACAGCTAACCAAACGCCCACGCATCGCGGATCAGACCATGCATATTGTAGACTGGCTGCCCACGCTGTTGGAGGCGGCAGGTGGTAAGGCGGCACTTGCTGCGCTGAATAACGTTCAGCTGGATGGAATGAGTGTGTGGCAGGCTCTGCTCAAGAATGAGGTATCGCCGCGCAAGAGTTTGTTGCACAACATAGATGACATCTGGGGCAGCGCCGCATTGAGCGTGGGTGATTGGAAGCTGGTGAAGGGCACCAACTACAATGGCTCCTGGGATGGCTGGTATGGACCGCCGGGCACACGTAATCCCCGCGACTATGACTGGCAGCTGGTCGTGAAGAGTCCATCAGGGCAGGCTCTGCAGCAGCTCAAAATGTTGCCAAAAACTGTGGATATGATGCGAACACGCGAAGCAGCCAACGTCATCTGCAAGGATGCCAAGTCTAAGAATGCATCCGACATTACCTGTAACCCACTGAGAGCGCCCTGTCTGTTCAATATTCGTGAAGATCCCTGCGAGCAGCGCAACCAAGCTAGCTTGTAAGTATTTGGAGTGCTCTAGATTTGCATAAACTAAATTCCAAACTCTTTCTTTTAGCTATCCTAAAGTTCTGGAACTAATGCTAAACGAGCTGCAGCTTATAAATTCGACTGCAGTGCCTCCTGCAAATAAACCCGATGATCCCCGTGGGTTTCCACGTCTTTGGAACTACACGTGGACGAATTTCGGCGACTTTATTGACACAAGCAATTGTATCTAAAATTTGATGAATAAAAACTTTAGAATGAAAATAGTTAGCTCTAAACATTTTGATGAGATCTTTTCGTGAACTTGAAATAGAATTCATGCACATAGAAATCACTTAGGCATAAATTCAATCACCAAAAGTTCAGCTACATTAGTTCTCGGTTAATCTTGCTTCCAAGAATCAATGATGAAGTTTAGATTGAATCTGAAATATTATTGATTTGCAGTCCTAAGATTTGTAGTTATTATTAATTTGTGATCTATGCTACGCTTGGCATCTAAAATCATTTTGGAACGTGTTCTAAGGGCATAATCTTAACTGAACTATGAGAAATTTCTCTTGTGTCATGATTTGAGTATTGAAGTTGATTTCTAAGAACTCCTGAGTTTCGGAAGCTATAAATTCGATAGTTCCTTGTCTTGGTCGATGTAGACACAGCTGATTCTAAGCATTGGTACGTCTAGAATGGTTAACTAAGCCCGATGCCAATTAAAGAGCTTCGCTTTTTTACAAAAATATGTCTTTATTACGTTACATACTTATTGACAAACAATGCTTACATTAAACTTGATTCATATGTATATCATCCTCATTTTTTTTTGTTCTTATTCGCTTTAGCGAAATATTTTTTCTCATATGCAACTATAACTTAGCCTAAGTGAACTTGAAGATGGGATGAGAGAGATAGTCTGAGATAGCGTGAGATTTGTATAGAATAGAGTGCGGGACGATAGGTCAGGTGTGTCCGTTTAACGGGTAATGGTAATGGTAACTAGTTCATAGTTCTAAGGTGTCGCTTAAGTTCTAAATATTGATCTACGTCTTTCCATAACTCGTCTGAAATAGCTAGCTAGAGTGTGTCTTGTCTTGTTCGGTGTTCATTTGCGTCGTCTAGTATCTGTAGCCACTGCCGTCGTTGTCGCCGTTCTGACCACCGGGTCCGAAACTGTTGCCATTGCGTCCCTGGCCTGGCTTGCCGCTGGAGTAACCTCGTCCGTCTACGTTGTCCTGGCCGAAGCCGCCATCCTGGCCATTGGGACGACCACTCGAGTAACCCTGGCCATCTCCAGCATCCTGGCCAATCACGCGTCCACCAATGATTACGCGACCTCCATCGGAGCCACCATTACCGCCTGGACGTCCGCTTGAGTAACCATTCTGACCTAGATCTTGACCACCGGGACGACCGCCAGAATAACCATTCTGACCCAAATCCTGACCGCCGGGACGTCCACCGGAGTAACCATTCTGTCCCAAGCCTTGACCGCCGGGACGACCACCAGAATAGCCATTCTGACCCAAATCCTGACCACCTGGACGGCCGCCGGAGTAACCATTCTGGCCCAAGTCTTGACCACCTGGACGACCACCGGAATAACCATTCTGGCCCAAATCCTGACCACCTGGACGACCGCCGGAGTAGCCATTCTGACCCAAGTCCTGACCACCTGGACGGCCATTTGAGTAACCGCTCTGTCCGAGGTCCTGACCGCCTGGACGACCGCTAGAGTATCCACTTTGACCCAAATCCTGACCACCTGGACCGCCAGCACCGCCAGCACCACCGGCACCACCATTTGCATCGCCTTCATATCGTATTTGCGGACGATAACCCTGCTGATCCGCCTCATACTCCACGATCTGTAACCGAATAAGGAAAAGTCATATATTAGCTACAGTCGAAGTGGTAGTTCATCCTGTTTCCCCAGCATAGATTCAGCTCAGATTGGCAGCTCTTGCTTACTTGCTTCCTTCCATCGGGCAACAGAACATTATACTGGCCGGTGGTGAAGTCACCGTCGCGCATCTCTGAATGACCAAATGAGAGACCACTTGGAGGGTCCTCAACTTGGTAATTAAAATCGTATTTAGCGGGCTCCTATGGGGTAGCGCGAGATAGTGAGAGAGCGTGTGGAGAGAGAAAGAGAGAGAGAGAGACAGTTCAAGATAGAGTTCAGTGAGAAATAGAAGTGAGGCAGAAAGAAAGAGACAGAGAGAGGCGCAAGCAGATCGGAATGGTGCAAGATTTCAGAGCGTGCTGTGCAGCGAGAGCAAGGAAGCGTTCAGCAAAAGGCGAGCTTCTCATTGTGTTTGGAAGGAGCCAAGTAAGAACCCAGAGCCAAACATAGTGCTACTTACATCGTTGTCGTAGTCACCACCTGCACCGCCGGGACCACCAGCGCCGCCTGCGCCAGCCCCTGATGCCGGCGGACCATATGAGTCGGAGGGTCTGCCACCAAAGCCGCCCTGTCCTTGACTCTGACCTGGTGCGCCGTAACTGCTCGATGGACGATCATTGCCAGCACCTGGAGCACCATATGTATCTGAGGGCTTGCCACCGAAACCTCCTTGGCCTTGACCAGGAGCGCCATAACTGCTCGACGGACGTCCGCTGCCATTGCCATTACCAGCACCTGGAGCGCCATATGTGCTAGAGGGCTTACCACCGAATCCATCTTGTCCTTGACCCTGACCGGGAGCGCCATAGCTGCTCGATGGACGGCCATTACCGTTGCCAGCGCCAGCCCCAGGAGCACCATAGCTATCTGAAGGCTTTCCTCCAAAGCCACCCTGACTCTGACCAGGCGCGCCGTAGCTGCTTGAAGGACGCCCATTACCATTACCGTTGCCTGCACCAGGAGCACCATAGGAGTCAGATGGCTTGCCGCCTTGTCCCTGACCAGGAGCGCCATAGCTGCTTGATGGTCGTCCATTGCCGTTGCCATTTCCAGTGCCAGGAGCTCCATAGCTGCTCGAAGGACGTCCACCCAAACCGCCCTGACCCTGACCAGGTGCGCCGTAGCTACTCGAAGGACGTCCGCCTCCGTTGCCATTGCCTGCGCCAGGAGCACCATAAGAATCCGAGGGTCTGCCCTGTCCCTGACCCGGAGCACCATAACTGCTTGATGGACGTCCGTTACCATTGCCGTTGCCGTTACCGTTGCCTGCGCCTGGAGCACCATAGCTATCAGAGGGCTTGCCACCGAAACCACCCTGTCCCTGGCCTTGCCCCTGACCTGGTGCTCCGTAGCTATCGCCAGGTGATGGTGGCAAATAAGAGTTCACTGGTGGTTCTGGGCGTGCCAGCACACTTGCTGTCAACAGCATTATACCAAATAACTTGAACATATTCCAACTGGGTGCTTGTGCTTCTGTTGGGAACTTGGTGGTTGACTTTTCTGCGCCACGAAGCAGCGCCAAATTCTGACTGATCTCGATGTGCAGCCAGTGCGCGTATTTATATGAAACGCTGCTCTCCAATCGCAGCAAACGAAACTGAAAGTCGAGGATGCACACACACACACCCATACACACAGAGGCAGGGACAAAGTCGTTTATGAGTTGATGTCGCTCAGCTCATCTGGTTGCTAGCTGCTTGCTGCTTGCTGCTTGCTGCTTGCTGCTACGTGTGGCAACCGCAACAGCTGCCACATACGATCATCTTCAAAGCGCCAACTCAGCTGCAGTCACATTTTCGGATCTGCATTGTTGCAGTTGCAGCATACCCTGTGTCCCTTAGAAGTGACTTCGGGGGGGACTTAATAAAGCTGAGTCTATGTAAGTAGCCGAAATATTCAGGCTTCTGTTTAGAGAGTATACGTATATAAATCTATATAAAAGCTGCAAAATAACGATATTTTTGACTACTTCTTGAAGCACATATATATTTTATATTTATATATGTAAAAATAGATAGGTTCATATGGAGCAAATAATTTCAATTGCTTAAATTCAAATTTTCATAAGAAGGAATCAATACTGGAAATGCTAAATCGATAAATATCGATTAACAAAAATCCATTAGGTCTCAGCATTGGCTCTCAAGTGTGTACAGGGTATTTGTTAGTCGTGCACTCAAACTGGCTTTGCTATTGTTGTTCTATCGCCGCCTGCCAGAAAAATCTCAATCTCAATCAGCGCGCTCTGCTCTGGCTTAGATGGCTTGGTTTGCCAGCTTGCGATTGTTTGTCGGATGGGCTTCACCTCGTTTGCCACGCGGCTGATTTGCCTTCTTCTTCTTCAAGCTGCACATCATTTGGCGGGTGATTGTGTTTGTTGTCGTTGTTGCTGCTGTTGTTGGCGCAAAGTAGTCTACTCCGTCGCTTGGTGAATGTTTCTTTCAGCCATGTTTGCCACACAGCCAGACTAACCCCTCTCTGCCCCTCTCACTCTGCCTCTCTCGCAGCCTCTCAGTCTGTTTTTGTTTGCCTTGTCAAAATTGAAGAAGATCGTGCCACATGCGACCCCAATTGGGAGTATGAGGAGATCTGGAGAGGGCTGCACACATGGTGTGCACCGATCACAATCGACGGATCGTTTATGAAGGCGCAATTGAAATGCGTTTGATGGGCTTTTAGCATAAGTCTAGGCAACAATTTGTTAACGCCTGGCAAAAAAAAAAGTTCGTCTCGATACGAAACGATTTATTCAAGCTGTCAAGCGATTGTATTTGATATAGCTGGAGTATTATATATGAATATTTTGGAGGTTAAAACTGATTGATAGCTAAGGATAAAGATTGCAAAAGTCAGTGTACCTAAAAGGTATCAAATGTGGAAACTAGATCAAAGATCTGATACAGATATTAATGAACATAATAAAGGTGTTCACAAGTACTTAAAATCAATCAATCTATATAAAGAGTTTAAGTCGATACGGTAAGGCACTTGAAAATTAATATCGATCAACTACGAGGCATAAAAGAAGTTGATTAATGATCGATATTTTAATCGAAAAGTTTCAACACATTAAGACGAGAGATACTCTTAAACGAACTCAATTTAAGTAAAGCTAAGCCGTTCGATTAATTATCGATAAATTACACTAATCGTTAAATAAACGTTTCAATCTATACATTAAGATGAAAGAGAGCGAAATTATGAATAAATACAACTAAACGACTAGTAACTTATCGAAAAGTGCAAAAGATGGGATCGGTTAGGTAATCTAGTAATTCTAGAAAAATCAAATTCATAATAGCTCTTCAATAGTACACCAATCTATTTATCTAAAATTATAACCGCGCAATATCGAAGCATAACCATTGTGCACCAACAAACGATGCCTTAATTGATCCATTCATTGAAGCCCATCCAGATTTTTCAATTTATGTCAAATTAATTGTGCTCAATTCTCACCTACTACGAAAAAATCGTTTCAACTGAGCCGGATTCAAGTAGCAGCAACCCACACTCCTACCGACAGAGAGACAGAAAGGCAACGAGGCAGAGGCCAGCTGTAAAATTAATTGCTCAACTACGTGCTGGGAGAGATCCACCTCCGCGTCGAGTCGCAAATGTGCAGACGTGCCGGGTGGAGTTGGGTCAAAAGTGAGCGATTTGTAGACAAAGACCAGCCAAAGAGCTACTAAAACAGAAGGCAGCAGTCGGCCGCCTCGGACCTCGTTATTGCTGGCTTGTAGTAGCACGTCCCTGTCAGCAGCTTAACCCCCCAATGACCCACATAAGTTGGCGACTTTACAAATTTAATGTTTAACTATTGCACAGATTACAAGCTGTGTAGTTAAACGAGGGGAACCACTCATCTCCTCCTTAATACCTCTGCGCTTAAAAATCTTAAAAAAATTCAATTTTGTATTTTATTTAAATATATATTTATCTATGTTTTTCAATGCAACTCTATTAACAATATTTTGGGTAAACATATTCAAGAATATTTTCAGCTGTTAAGAAAATATTTATTGAGCCAGAAAATATTTTTAAAAATATTTTTTGTTTCAATCGGCAATTTTTTAAACAACGATAAATTATAAGAATAAAATTTCAAATTAAAAAAAAAAATAGAAAATAATATATAAATTTACTCAATGGATCTTTTGATTAAATAGAGACGCTTATAGCGTCCGTAGACCTCCGAGAGGAGCAGCATGTGGACGCCATAGATGAGCACACAGACCACACAGCAATCGTTGAGCACCAGGAGCAGCAGCCCGCCCAGGTAGACACAGAGAATCAGAGTCAGAACTGCAAAAAGCAGCTGCAGTTGGCAAAGCCAGCGACTCTCAAAGAAGGCTACAACATAGAATAAAATAATAATAATGAAGTGAATTAATGCAGGAATTTGCAGGTACTCACAGGTGATAAAAAGCAGCGTGTAGAAGGCAATGCCAATGGAGCCATTGGAGGGATGTAAATAAGTAGAGTTGGCATCAAAAACAAGCCGAGTCAAGCCGAAACCGCGGCCAAAGCTAGAAGAGAAAGATGAAACAGGAAACTATTTCTGGCAAGAGCAAACCAGCAACTGATTTAAGGACACTCACTCGGATTTAAAGACTGCTGTGCAGCTGACTTGCTCGGCCAAGTCGCACATGGCCTTATAGTTCGCATCGTGATCCAGCTGGATTTTAACATATAGCGTATATATTGAGATGAGTAGACCGCAAAGGCACAGCAATCGCAGGCGGAACTTGGTGGGCGTGGCAGTTGGTAATAACTGCGACGCTGAGCACGATTTGCTGGCGGACATGCTCAGGCAGGCAAGGATAATGAATGCAGCTGCGGCAGCAAGCAAGCCAGGGAAAACTGTTGCCGCACAGAGTTGCCAAGCTGTGCGCGGCAGACAGAGGGTAGTAAATGAATCAACAAGTTGAGATAATATGAAGGGATATATCAGGCAGCTGACAACTCTGCTGGCAGCTGCGCAGTTCGATCTCTGCTGGACCAAGATGTAAATTAACTTAGCTCTACTATTTATAGCTGCATAAATTAGATTTGCAACCCCAAGTGCAAACTTAAAACAATCTAACAGGTGCCGACAGAGAAACAACAGGTGGTAAAAGTGATTGAAACATAACAATTTAAGATTTAAGATGAGTTCGGGAAAGATGTCAGCCACAGCTTATATTGATGTGAATGTTGATTGAAACAGAAACTGAAATCTAATTGCAATAAAGTTTTTAGTATGAAAATAGTTAAAGCTAATCTGGACTGGCTACATTTATATATTTTTATATATATTTTATATATTTATATATTTTATATATATTTTTCGTTGTTAACCAGAAAAAGTCACTTAAGCTGAATAATCAGTAAACGAATATTAAACTACTCAATATATGAGTTTCTTCAGTTGAAAAAATCAGTTATTCGCTGTAGACAGAACATCTATCAGTCAGGCACTATTAACTAGTGATGCCTTGTATATACATAAATAAACTATAGAAAGACTTTTATATTAAATCACTCACTTCCATGAAAATAAAATAATAAGAAAGAAACCATTATATGCTTCTGGTTTTTGAACGGAAATTAATTTTAAAGCTCGAATATGTACCCGTAAGCACATTGTCTTTGTAAGCCTATCTTTAATTTAATATAAAGTTTTTATATTTAATTTCTTATACTAATTAATATGAAAATTCGAGAATTTCGTCTTTTACAAATTTCAATTCAAGAAAGTTGTTTCGCTTTAACAAGCAAATAATAAGTTTATATCAGTATATCATTAGTTTCCTAAGCCCTTCATTAACCCAGAAATTATTTAAGCTGCATCAAAGTTTTCCCATGCGATTAGCTCTGTGCCTTGTAGCTATACCTCTCCCTCTTAGTCTGTCTCTTTTGACTGCTCTAAAACTAACTGAAATACTTAGCTGTTTGATGCCGACACTCGACTTTCCGTAACGCTCCATTGCATGCATATAAAATTAGCGTCAGGGCGACATATCGCAGACTTAACAAAAATAAAAAAGACAAAAAAAAGGCAGCGACTGAAGACAAAATGCATTAGACATGAGCTCATCTTGTAGTTTGTTTTATATATTTCTATTTTATTTTTCATGCGCTTTTCACGACAAAATCTTGTCCAAGTCGCGCATGTCCCTTTTTAATTTATAGCCTCACGAATTTGAATTTATGTGCCAGAGAGATGCCAACTGCATAAGATGATGTTTAAATTGAAGTTAAGCTAAGTTTAGGCAATAGCTTAAATAATTTACCAAATCTCAGCGCGGCGGGGGCTGCAGAGGCAGAAGAAAAACTGTCAGCTCAATTAAGGCAGTTCGAGCTGAAATTCTTGAAACAGACATCAAGACTTCAATTTAAAATTTCATAGATTCTCAGAAATTTTTCACTAGACTTGAAAGCATAATTCTGATACTTTGAGGAGTTGTTACTAAGAATTCCAAATACAAATGTGCAGCTGTGTAAACCTTTAACAACAAAGCTAGAGCTTTACAGAAAGGGGCTTGAACCCCGACTTTCAATTAGTCTCTTACCTCACAGCTAAACGGAATGAAGAGCTTGAAGAACTGCTGTATACAAATTAGAGCCCTAGCATATGTTATAATTGCATACAATCATCCTTTGTTATTTTTCAAAGTGGGATTCGAACCAATGATTTCTCATGTTAATATGCCGCTCGCTTTGAGCAGGGCCAAGTGTAGCGCCCGCTGGCAAAGTGAAGTGTTCAATTTGTGCGCAACCTTGGCTCAGGCGAGTGACACAAGCAAAACAGTCACCGACAAGCAACAGCAGCAGCAAAATATTAGAAATATTAACAACAAGAAAAGCAACAACAATAGCAACAACACAGCTTGTAGCACCCTTTGACAGCTGTCAGTTAGATTTAGGCCACAGTTGGTTGGCCAAACGAAATGTGGCCCAAATATGGAGCAAATGCGCTTAAAGTTTGCCAGTTTATTCAACTTTACACTTCAAATCAAGAAATGCGTTTAGAAGGGCTAATGCCGCAGCTAATGCTGATGCTAATGCTAATGCTGATGCTAATGCTGTTGCGGTTCTTGCAGCTGCAAAGAAGTGCGACACGTGCGATACTCGAACTGTAAAGCTCAGCGCAGATCCGCATTCAAAAAGTTGTTGCTATTGCTGCTGCTGTTGCTGTTGTTGTTATGAATTTTTGAAGTGCACAAACAAAACCACCTCAAGTGCAGCTGACGACAGCAGCAACAGCAGCAGCAACAGCAGCAGCTACAGTATGTGTAAGAATACTTACGTAGGGTATACACGACTAATATATGTGCTGCATTTACTCAAGCTTTGTGCATAACCAGTTCAATTGAACATATTATTAAAATGAACCACTGAACTAATTTACTGAATCGATAGGTTTTATTTGTTTATGATCGATTCTCTAGGCTCATTTAGTTCAAAAAACTATTTTCATGAACTGAGCTGCTGAAGCAACTGATCTGATAAACAAAATGCTCGAAATAATTTATAACTTAAAATGAAATAATTCAAATTATTCTACATTTAAACTAAAACTCCTTGAATTTATTATAGAAAAGAATTAAAAAAAAAGAGTTATTTCCAAGCTTCGTATACCTCACTATAATGAATTTAGTGTTTAGCTCTTATAGTCTTCGAGATATGCCCAAATTTGCTAATACATATAGTAGAGGAAGTATATAAAAAATAAGATTAAAGTAGGAACACAATCACGTGTATACCAAATTTAATATCTTTAGCTCATAGGGCCTTCGATATGTGTAGGAAAGACCCAGATTCAACATCGATTTTTATCGATATTGAAGCATATTTACATATATAGAGGTCCCTTTAACCGTTCGTAGGAGCCAACTTCCAGCTGTTACATATTAAAACGCTAAGCTAATATACCCCTTTCACTTACTTCTATTCTCGTCTTAGATGCGGCAGTCGCTGACTGTGTTGATGTTGAAGGTAAATGCGTTGCCTCAAGATTCGCATTCGCATTCAGTTTGTCGCCCGCTGCACGTGTGCCCAAAAAAAAACTACTTGCAGCTCAAAGGAAGTTAAGGTTGTAACAACAACAACACAACAGTGACAACAACTGTGTTGTAATGTGGCAAGCGCCTCATTTGTATGCGTCACTGGCTTAATAAATTCCCAATTAATTAAACTCAAAATTGTCATCGTTATATAATGCTAATGAAGCGCACCATGAAGCAGAATTTGTAGAATTATCAATATATGGATAGAGCTAAATGAATATACCAAACTTTGGTGACTGTAGCTCAAAAATTTTCTGGGTTCAAAGAGAGAGGAAATTTTTGTGGCTTGCAGACGTTTCAATTGTTTCATTTACTTAAGAGACTTATACCTTTCACAGACTGGAATTGCAATCCATTTTATGCCTTTAAGATTATAATTTGTACGAACTAGCTCGTATAATGTCTGACTGCAATGAGATGGTAAATATCTGATGATGTTACTACTAGCCTAATCAGCGCTTAAGCGTTAAGCTTAGCGTTGATCTGTAGAGAATCACTAGCTCAGTGGCATATTTTTTTCATAGTCTTACCCAATTGGCTCCGAGCACAGTGGGTAGATCTTGGGTTGGCAGCACGTCTATATTTCTAGCACGTTATATATAAGCTTTATTGTTATATCACATGTAGTATACGCAGATCTAGCTGGTCTCAGTGTCCTATTTGAAATATATATATATATAATATATATATATATATTACATATTTCAAGTCTCTAGTTTCAATATCAACGAAATGGCTTGCGTTCATACGGACAGATAATAATTTAATTCCGAATTATCTTAAATATATTTTTGAGCCAAGTCTATAAGAAATTATATAACAGATAATATATTATAATAACAGATAATACATTGAATTCACTTGAGTTGAATTGTTATCCAACATATTGCTAATAGTGTACCAGGTGTTATCTACTTGGTATATTGGATTAATAGGTATTAGCCTTACCTCGTTCTAGCTGAAGGTCTGCTTATTATACTTATTTTTTTTACGATTTTGACTTGCGACCTACAAAAGTAATTAAGCCAATAAATTGCTTCCAGCCGGAACCATTTTTCAATATAGATACAAATTGTAGTTACCATAAATAAAGAGATTAGAGTTGACATCTAGTTGGATTTATATTAACTTATATTTGTGTAAAACCTCGTCAAAAGTCAAGTCAACTTAAACTAGGCAAGTCGGTCAGCATCTGGTGTCCAGGCCTGCTGCAGCAAAGTCCGTATCATCGGCATTCTTTATTGGATTTAACAACATGTATAAAATATAGAAATATAATTAAACTAATTCTGATCTACTGTCTGCTGTCTTCTCTCTTCTGTTTGCCATCTTTGGCTTTAATGAGCTAGAAACATTTGCGATGTATTATGCTGGGACCCATATCGTCGTATTCGGAGGAATCAATCCACATATTTTGAAAGCTGGAGAGTGAAGCCAAAACGGAACCGCCCGACCAGACGGCAAAGCAGCGTTCAGGATTGGCGGTAATTTTGATGCGCATCGTCGAGGGGGCCATGACCGAAATATCCTCTTGCAGACGCACCTCGATGTTGCGGAACATAGTCGTGCCGCCCGACAGAACAATATTCGCATACATATCCCGTCGCAGATCCATATCACATTTCAATATCGATTGGAAGACCGCCTCGTGTAGGCCGGGCACCTCCTGGCCCAGCATGCTGGGCTTGAACAGTGCCTCGGGGCAGCGAAAGCGCTCGTTGCCAATGTTGATGGTAGTGCCATCTGGCAATTCGTAGAGCTCATCGAAATCCGACTTGCGCAGCAAGCATTGATTCAGTTCCTCATCAAAATTGCTGGCCACGTAGCAGAGTTTCTCCTTAATCTCTCGGACTATTTCACGCTCTGCGCTGGTGCTTAACGTGTGTCCGCGTTCCATCAGCAGCTTGCCCAGATAGTCGGTCAAGTCTCTTCCAGCTAGATCTAGGCGCATGCAGGCATGTGGTAGGGCGTAGCCCTCGTAGATGGGCACCGTGTGGGTGACTCCATCGCCAGAGTCTACGACAATGCCAATGGTACGTCCTGTAGCATAGAGAGATAATACCGCCTGGATGGCCACATAGAGTGCGGGCACACGAAAATTCTCAAACATTATTTCGGTCATCTTTTCGCGATTCTTTTTGGGATTTAACGGCGGTTCGGTCAGCAGCACTGGATGCCCATCCGATTCGACGCGCAGCTGTTCGAAGGTATGCTTCCAGATCTTCTCCATATCCGCCCAATTGGTCACAACGCCATGTTCGATGGGATACTTGAGTGTGAGTATGCCACGCTTTCGCACCGCTTCGTCACCGATGATACAATCGTCAATGGCCGAATCGAGTATGACATTTAGATGACGGGGTCGTCCCACAATCGATGGGAAGACGACACGGGGAGCGGATTCGCTTGAGAAGCCCGCCTTGCATATGCCAGAGCCATTGTCAATGACCACAGCAGTTGAGAGGTCATCCGCTTGCATATTGGCAACGCCTGCATATGCGATCAAATGATTTAAAGATTTAAAGACGCAATCCTTGAAAGAAGAAAACACCAGTGCCGAAAAACTTACGATGCTTTAATGATTTGAACAGAATTTGTTGTGTCCGTTGGTCGGAAACATCGATTTCAATTTTCGAAGGCATACAAAACTCAGACATATTTTCCTGTGTGTGCCCTCGCACGAGTTTTCCATGTGTATGGCATATGAATTTCAAATTAGCCCGCTTCAAATATTTGAACATTGTGCAGCACTGCAAACGGAAAAGTATGCTATTGAGCTTGCTGTTAACCGTTGCTGAATACTTTGAGCAGAAACATGCTCAATTGCGGTATTTTTTTTTTTTTTTGAATTTAAAGTTTAAATATTTTGTGTGTGCTTTTAGTGTATTCCATACGCTGTCACACTACATTCCGGTAAGCAAATTAAACTAAATTAGTGGAATATTTCTATTGTAATGTTATGCGAACTTCATGTGTGTATTTGCCGTGCTTCCAGTGGTTTTTGATTTTATCCCGGTCAGCAAATAGCTGAATTGGTGTGTTTTCCCAGCATAAACTATTTTGGTATTTTTTAGGTGTTTATAGTATTGAGTGTAGTGTATTTCGAGTGTTTGCCACGCACTGTCACACTTGATCCCGGTAAGCAAATTAAATAAGGTTTTTATCGAAAATTTTAAAAGTATTATTCCCAGTTAATATAACAACTCAATCAAGAATGTTTCTGGCACGTAACTTCACCAAAACAGCACGGTAAGTACCCACAAAGTCGATTAATTGATTATGCCGGCGTTGACGCCAAAATGCGATTACATAAATTTTATAGCAACAACAACGAATAACAATGGCTACCTTTACAATTCGAATGTATATTATATATAAGGCTAATTTTTATTTAATTCATAGTACTGTTATCTCGCGGGGCAAACATACGCTGCCAAAGCTGCCTTACGACTATGCCGCATTGGAGCCAATTATCTGTCGTGAGATTATGGAGCTCCATCATCAGAAACATCATCAGACCTATGTTAATAACTTAAATGCCGCCGAGGAGCAGCTGGAGGATGCAAAGTGCAAGAGCGACACTACGAAGATTATTCAACTAGCACCTGCTCTTCGCTTTAATGGCGGTGGCCATATCAATCATACGATCTTCTGGCAGAACCTATCGCCTGAAAAGTCGACGCCAAGCGACGATCTAAAGAAAGCCATCGAATCGCAATGGAAGAGCTTCGAAGAGTTCAAGAAGGAGCTCAGCGCGTTGACTGTTGCTGTGCAGGGCTCTGGTTGGGGCTGGCTTGGATACAACAAGAAGACGAGCAAGCTACAGCTGGCTGCGTTGCCCAATCAGGATCCGTTAGAGGCATCAACTGGATTGATACCCCTCTTTGGAATCGATGTATGGGAGCATGCATATTATTTGCAATACAAGAATGTGCGACCGTCGTATGTGGAGGCTATTTGGGATATTGCTAACTGGAATGATATTTCTTGCCGCTACCAGGAGGCAAAGAAACTATCTTAGACAATCTTTACTCAAATGTCTATATGTTAAATGTAATCATATAAAAACCATAGGTTTTGAATGTAATCAAATGTTTCGGCTAATAAATTGATAATCAATGAAGAAGTCAAATCAAAACGCAAATCGATAAACATGTGTCACCCTGCATCAGCTGTTGTATATTGTCGCTTGCCAACACTGCATTGCCAATTTCTCAGCTGTTTGCGCTGGCCACAACAAAAACAAACTCAGGCTGTCCATCGCCTGGGTGGGCGGAAAAACTCTTCTAGCGCGGCTTTTCCACAGCTTTCCCACGCTCGCGTGCGCAAGTGCAAACAATTTTCCAGCACGCGTAACACAAATAGCTAAGCGACAGATCCATTTGGCGTGCGTACGCGTTCGGTACGGCTAAAACGGAAGACTGCAATGCATATGCGCTGCAAATAAAACAAAGACAAACAAAAACAAAAGATACTAAATTTATAATCATGCAAACACTTTAAGAGATACGAAAAACTGTGCAAAGCGTCTTCAAGAAGTGCAATAAAATTGTGAGAAACAAAACAATTGCAATAGGAAACCGTAGCAATTGCATCGTTCGTCACATTTGGGCATTGCAATGTGAGTAGCGCGTAAATTAATTTAAATTGACTTTTTTGTGGGATTTTCGGTATTTTTGTTGTTATTTCCCTTGTGTGTGTCAGCGGTGACTAATGTAAAAATGTATTCAACGCGTTTCGTTTGAAAAATCAATATTCCAGCTCAGGACAGTAACAGCGTCCTGTCATGCGCAAATGCACACATACACAGACACACATATATATGTATATATTTACACACACCCACACTGTTAGAGTGTACTGTTATCCTGTTGCTGTTGTTGCCAGCTGTTGGCCTTCCTGTCTTGTCTTTGAAATTCTGCTAAAAATAAACCTCATTTGAGCATATGGTGCAACCTGTCATCAGCTTCAGACAGCGGCTAACAGGCGTTTTAGCAATTTCGCATTACTCGTTGCCTGCCGCCAGGCGCTGCCCACGCTTTACAGTGTTATTTCTGTTATTATTGTTGCTGTTGTTTGCGTTATCAGATTGCAAATTGACCGCGAGTCCCGTTAACTGACGTCAATACAATTAAGTTTTACGGGTTATTGTCTGGTTGCTTTCGCTCTTCATGAGTGTTATATATGCGATAAAAAATTATTAATTATTTATTTTATTATTATTTTTTTTTATTTTATTATTATTTATTCATTATTTATTCAATTTTCATAAGTTTTATATATCGCAGATTATCTGTTTCATTTATTTTTTTTTTATTATTTTTTTTTTGGTAATTATTTATGGTTGTATAATGGTTTTGCAAAATAGCATTTTTTTATAACCATTTATAATTCTAAATTATTTTATATATATTAGAGATGTTTTTTTTAATTTTCAATACTTTTATAATTAATATTAAATTACTTATTATTAATATTAAGAAGTAATGCTGTTAAAAACATAAATAAAAGCTATTAATTATTAAATTAAAACAAGATTCAGATAATTAAATAATATTCGTATAAATTATTTTGTATTAATCAGTTGCAGCTTGCACTGTCATAGGTCAGGTATAGCGAAAAGGGTTTCAAGTGTATAATCGACCTATATTAGTTCTTATTTATTTATTGTTAAATTTTAAAGCCCATTTTTATGGGGCTTAACTCTTAGTTTGGTTACGTAGAATATTGTCTATGCAAAATATATTTGTATAAGAATTAAGCATTTCTAAAGGTTTCTCTCTGGATATTACTAACATCATTGACAACAAATGGGCAAATCATATATTATGTTTAATAGATTGTAGAAGAAACTTAGACCTTTCCTAACCGTCTGAATTTATGACTAGTGACTAACTCGTTAGGATGCTGTGCTGCTGTATTTTGCAAAAATCTACATTATTTATTTTTGTTATAATTTATTCAAATACATATACATATTTATCGTTATGAAAGATCGTATAATATACTGCAAATTTAAAGACTTACATTTTGATATATAGGTATATACATACATATGTTTGGAATATGTTTTAAATATCTTAGCTTTGTTATTCATAAAACGATTTTCTTGTATTAACAAACTTGACCGCAAAACCCTTTTATTAAAACACAACTATCAAATAAGCAGTCAACTTTATGATTATGCACAAATTCGCACCCTCATAATAATAATAATTAAAACTAATATAGTTTATTAGTATTTGGCTGATATTGTGAAAGACCTGATTGCGCACAACCTCTGACCTTTTCAGCACTCAAATTGCTATTGAGTTACCTTATATGTATGTGTGTGTGTCTATGTCCATGTTAATGTTCAAGTCATGTCGATGTCCACGACCATGTTTCCCGTCCATCTGTCCGAACGATGAGTGGGCGTTCCGTGTTGCCATATGCGCATCCGCTGCCAGTGCAAACAATTCTCTGTGTGCGTCATAAGAGCAGCCCTGGAATATGGGAGAAACTATAGAAAATAATTCAAAAAGTTTGCTCGAGGTGTTCCCACTGTGGTAAAGAACTTTAAGTATAGTTAAGAGCTCTTTACTGGATAAGTTTTCGGGCAGCACTCGAAAAGACATCAAATTGTTGGATACATTCTTCATTTCGCTCGAAATAGTTCTTGTTCAATTTAATGAACGGGTTGAACGCTCCATTTCGAACTAAGTACTTTGTTCTCCTTTAGTCATTCCTTTTGCTCGTTCAATATACAAGTCGTTTGCTTATGAACCATTTATATTCATCAGTTATTCAGTTGTTCCTGAACAGATTAATGTTCCTGTTGTTGAGCAGCTGAATGGCTCAATTTAAGATATGGTAAATAAAAGATTTAACTGAACTCCAGTGAAGCCAGTGAGTTTAGTATGTGTAAGTGATCAATTTAATGGCTGGCCAAAAAAGTACTTAGTTTCTTAATGAATTAAAAAATTGTAAATATTAGTACATTTTCTTTTCATGCATTTTAAAGCGTATATAACTAAATACTATGCATTTTTATATCTTAAATTAATAAATAGAATTTGTTACTAAATATATCTAGATCTACTTCTGCTCATCATATATTCCACTCGCCCTTCTTAAGTTTTTAAATTTAAAATTTTTTTGTAAAACTTAATTTTAACTTCACTTACCAACCCATATGTGGTATAGTCAATCCCTGCCCTAAGTTTCCCTTTTACATGCCACAAGCGCAACATAAAGTGCTTTTCCAAACGCATGAATAAATAAAAACTCACTTAAAACCGGGAGAAAACAAAATCACAAAAGAACGAAAAGCGTTTTATAATACACCGAACTGTGCTTGCCGTAACAAAGTTAATAATTCAAACCAAAATTCACTTGATTCCATATTCCTGTTTCCCTTTATTCCTTTAAATTGTCAAACCTAATGAGTAGCCTGTGCTAGCCCATGCCACCGTTTCGGTATAGGGTAAAATTATAGCTGGCAAGCAATAAACATAAATTTCCGCTAAAAAATATAATAAAAGTTGGGGCTACAAAAAAAATTAAAAAAAGGAGTATAAAGTGGGATGTCGCGACCGCACGCAGCTGCAATGGGGAGTCGGTTCACCTGACGGTTTTTGCAGCCGCAGGACCGTAAAATGGCTTCCTGGCGGACACTTTTCGCTCGGCACTTTGTTTTAAATATTGCACAATTGTATTAAGCCCCAAGACCACAGGGTGGTTCTTTAAGTACACACTATTGTTATGCCCGCTCACAAAGTGAATAGGGTATATTAGTATTGCTAAATATTTGACATATATACGCTGGAGATCAAATAGAATACATTTTGAATAAATATTAGTTTATTTGAGAGCTAACTCTTATCACTCGTGCGATTGAACGGGTCACTATAGTGAACTACGGAGCTGGTTCAGTTATCACATCTGCAGTTCAGTGATTCATGAACAATTTGCAATAATTTATTGAACTGCCATAAACTATTTGTTTTACTAGACATGCTATTCGAGCAACTAAGCAACGGAATAAAAGACCAAAATGAACTTTTCATGTTTCTACAAACCAAAACCAGAAGCTTTACGACTCGAACTGTAACGAATATACCTATTTATCAAATCAAATTATTTTTTACCAATTTATCTATAGAAGTTTGAACATTTAGACTTGAAAGATTCTTTCACAAACACGCCTGATATTTGTGATTTTTAATTTAAAACAGAGTATTGTACAGTCAGCTACACTCAACTGCAAATCTTCCCTGCTTTTTTTGACTGTCTTGTCGCATGATTTATATGGGCGCACTTTTAAGAGTTCCCACCTTTCAGAAGTTGGCAAATTTGGTTGGTGCTGCACTGAAATTGCAGTTGCCACTGCAGCTGCCAGCTTGCAACAGCAGCCATAAGCCAAGTGTTGCCAGAAGTGCATTTTATGGCAACTGAGCGTAGGGGCGTGGTCGACTCTTAGTCACCTACAGAGTGCTATGCGGATAGCAGCAACTAGCGACACGCACGGCTATAACTATGCTAACAAATACATATGCCATACACACACATATGTATACATATGTATGTGTATATATATATCAGCGGCGACAATGCGGCACCGAAAGTTACAACATTCCAGGCAAATCAGACATTAGGGGTATTCGTGTTTAATACAAGAAACTGAATTCTTTAACAGACCTTGAAACCATGAGCTGATTATGAAAAAAATACGATGGAATGTTGAGCATGACAATTGTAATTTATAATAATTTGATTCTCAATCTAACAAGCAATCAGTCTGTTAGTCAGGCTTGCGACACAATATCAGCAAATTTGTCTTACTTCTGTAAGCTTCTATAAGCTAATGAATAGATGAAAAGGAAGTTCATATATCAAAATCATATATCTTTCGGATTGTAAATCCGAAAATCATATATCTTTCAGTTGTAATGAAATAATCGAACTAAAAGTCTACAAGAATCCAATAATTTCAACTAATCTTAGAATATCTTAAAGGACTAAACTAGGAAATAAGTTTGTAAACTATATACAACCAAATATTAAGACTTTATAGTACCAAAATGATGCTTGAGTGTCGGAATTTTAGTTGTCTCCTTATATTTATTATATATATTTATTAATACATTTCGAAATTCGCAATATTTTTTTAATCACAAAAAATTCATATAGCGAAAATCTGAAAAGCTGAACTTGAAATTGCTTCATGGTTTTTTCTTTGTGTATTTGCTAGACTACAGTGGCTTGTTTGCCACATAAAAGCCGAGTGTTGCAGAGTGGGTTGCCGGGGTAGTGGGCAGTGGGGCAGGTTGCTTGGCTGCTTGTTTTGGTGGGGCAGGAAACGAGCGCGTGCCTTCGAAAAGGATGATTCACCAAGTTTGACTGCTGCTCCTGCTGGCTTGGTAGGTGCCAGTTCAAGCAGCAATTGTAGCAACAACGAGCGTTTACACACACACACACACATACACACATACAGAAATATACTCGCACAGCAAACTTGGCACGAACATGCGCTGTGTTTTGTTGTGTGTGTGTCTGTGTCTGTGCTTGGAGGACTCTTTGCATGAGTCATCCGCTTTTTGCTATACGAACTTCGAACTGTGAACTGTGTTGTGCCAAGTGTATGTATATCTGTATGTGTTTGTGTGTGTCTCTGTGTGTGTATATGTTACTTCTGCGTGGGCTTGCGTTAATTTAAATAAGAAAATCGCATTTGTTTTATGTAGCAGACTTAATGGACGACACAGACGTCGCCATAGCCTCTTGCTGCGTCTATATATATTACTAAATATATTTATATCCTCTCTCTATATTTTTATATATATATATTTTTGATTTTAGCTTAATTAAGTGCTGCCTGCGCACACTTCACATTAAGTGAATGGCCTACAAGCCTCAAATTAAAAATGAAATTCAATTGTAAAAACGCCTTCAGCTGTGCTTTACAATTTACCAGACTCATTATGAAGGATACCGATTGAAATTGGTTTATATGGGGTATATTGAAGTTATGCAAAGCTGAGCAGACGCTGGAGGTTTCAGTGAAGCTCTAAATATGATATATTTATACTATATGTATATCGGCTCCATTTCATAAAGCCATATTTGACTGGTTTAGAGTTATATATATTTGTCTGTAAAAAGGCTTTAAATTTTAAATATTTAACATCATTATTATAATTTATTTATTAAATGTGGTTTCTTCTCTCTCTCTTCCTCTTTCTCTCTTTGTTCACCTTACTTAAAACTCAAAGAAACTCTTCTTAACGAAAGTGCGTTAACTTTTAAGGTCGTCAGCTTCAACCTTGTACAGGGTATGTTTTCCACTTTTAAGCTCCTCAAGTGCGCAGTTTGAATGGTTTAAAGTCTGCGAACTGCCAGCCAGGATGATGCCACAAAAAAGAATCTGTCGCATGCCCTGCATACCCATCCATCCAGTCCATGAACTGTCATTGACATTGACGCACAGTGTGTACCCTCTTTGGTGTATCCCCGTTTGAGCGTTGCGAATGTGCTTCCAAGTCAAAAATGCGAGCTTCGAAAAACGAACAAACGTTGATATATACGTCAACGACCCGCCCACGTGCGAGTCCCATCCCCAGCCCCAGCCCCGCTGCTAAAATTCGTTCGATATTATTTGGGCTGGTTCGCGTGTTGCAGTTTTTTACTGCGCAGCAAATAGAATTTCCACCTTGCCGTCAACATGTCCCTCTCCACACCATCGCACACATGCCCGACACGCTCACGCACGCATAATCCTTGGATGTATTGAGCAGTTTTTCATGCGTGGGCCTTGCGAATTTTCCACTGCGTCGTGGCTGACATTTTGCTGCGTAAAAATGCTAAATATGCTTAAAGCCGACTCTTTGTTTTCAGATTTATTGAAAGCTTAAGAAGGTTTTTCTTTTTCTTTGCGAGAGCTTTCTTGAAGGAGTTTTACAATCCTTTTTTTTGGTAAAGAGTAATGAATGTCTTAACAATTTTTTATTTATAGTCAAGTTGTGGGAGCAAATAATTTAAATTTTATTGTAATTATTCATTAGACAACTTACATTATTATTAATATTGATAAAGCTAAAATTGTTTGACGCTTAGGCCTAGCGAAGCTTCTCAAGTCAAATTCGTAGTTGATTTCTCACATTAAATTTAACAAAAAGTTAATCGTCCCAAGCGAAACCATTTTTAGTGTTTAAGAGATTCAAAATTAAGTTTCATATAGCGAAATTTAATAAATATAACATATGTAGCCTCTAAATTTCTATTTCAAAAAAATAAATGAAAATTATACTCAACTAAGCGAAATAATAGTAATGCTGAAATTTGGATTGTGTTTGGCAAAGTTTAGTAGGTTTAAAGACGAGTAAGAACTAAGATGAAATACAAGAACCAATATATAAAGTAGATTAAAATTCAAGTTCAGGATTGCGCACTTTTGACAAGAGCAGTAATATTATATTTATATTAAAGCTATTTAAGTATAAATTAAATAGAGAGATAATTCTACAGTTTGTCGGTAAATTTTTCAACATCAGAATCGAGCAGTGTAAGGTAAAAAATTTGCTCGCTTTAATTGCCTAACTATATGTATTCGAATATCGGACTATTAATTAGGATATTTTTTATCTATGACAACTTTTCGAAGTTAAAGCTTTTCTTCATTAGAAATTGCGCTAATTTGATGAATTGTTTTAATTTCTTTGTCAATTTGTAAAGGCAATTATTGCGTACGTTTATATATCTAAATATAATTATAATCTAATAACAATATATAATATATTTTGATATTTTATGAAAGCGCAGGCAAGACAAGTTTTTAGCTATTTAGAGTATGGGTACAGCTCAACCATATGTATCTTTAAATGTTTGCTTACAACTCACATTGCATTGTATTTTAAAGGCCCATGATTGCTGTCCTTAAAGTAGATTAAATATAAATTCAAATTCAAAAAAATTCAACCAAATATTTAATCGATTAATATTTAACAAAGTTTCAAATCTGTTCATTGTTGTTTAACTACAGTCACAACCAGCTGTTCAGCGTATCTTTTATCCCCTGTCCACTAGACTGTAGCTACTGTAGCACACTTTAATGTCAGCATTAACCATTAATTCAATCTTTATGTTTATTGGCCACAAATTCAATGTCAAAGCAATTACTAAAGAAACAATGAAAGACACGCATAAAAAGCTCATCCGCGACTCGTGCTGAGAAATCAATAGAAATTTTCTATTTTACGTCACAAGATTTCAGCTGCTTGTCCATTAACTGCACACAGTGGTGGCCATTAAAGGTGTAACAGTGTCTTCAGATGGAGGCTGGGGGCTGTGTGGCGAGCTTAAAGCATAAATGAAATTCATTATGCGCTTCGTTTTTGACAGGCAATGCGTTTTGTTATTATTGCGCTGTAGCACTTGATGAAATTCTTAACATTGCCAGCATAGTCATGTCCGAAACGAGGACTGGACACTAGAGTTGTTCACTTCAGTTCAATTTGATGAATCAGTTCAGTCGTTCATTGCCAGATTAGAAATTATTTTTGGTCAGCTTATACTCCAGTTGAGCTAATAAACATAGTAATTTAGTCAGTTATAAATAACAAGTTGAGAATATCGTTCTTGAACAATAATATTATATAGTTCACTGATCAGTAAATAACTTGAGTAGTTCATGTGAATGACCCGTTCAAATGAACTTATGCTGAACGAGACGACACAGCTCTGCTGGACACCCTCTGCCCCGCACACACACACATACGCACGCACAATGTTGGCGCCTGCGCCATAGTCGAGGGCTGTTGAAGCTGTTCTTTGCTAGAGCTCGTTTGCCTGGCAGCTCGTCAGCTCACTGCGTCGTCTAACCCCAACGGTTGCAGTTCATATTTGGTCCGAAGTTCGCGGTGCGCGTTTATTGGCCCACGCCTCGATTGGCCATCGATTTTGTGCAAAAGAAAACCACAAAAAGGTTGTTCGTGGCAACAAAAAGTGCTAAAAGTTTAAACAAAAAAAGAAAAGCAAAAAAGAATTAACTTAATTCTCAACTAATAATTTAATGTCTTGACTGTGCTTAAACCAATAAAAAAAAAAATAAGCTCTTGAGCTGTGTGAAAATTTTCGCTGTTATACAGAAGAAAGCCCCGTACATACATATATTATACACCTATATACACATATAGGTATATATTCACATATATACATCTGAGAGTCTTACGAGAGTTCCGAAAATTAATACGCGAATGTGCGCATTTGGTTATTTATTGTTTTTTGCTTTATTGCTAACAACAATTTTGGTGCTATCGATCATTTTTGCCACCTCTTCGAAGCGTTCTATGATGGATAGTTTCATATTAGTTTTCAATTACACACAAGATGAACAGCAGCAGCAGCGACAACAACAACAGCGACTACATCAGGAGGAGGACTTACAACAGCAACAGCAGCAGCAACATCAGCAGCAGCAATTTATCTACAAGCCGAAATTATTTTGAGTTTTATGTCCTGTTTTTTCCATTCCCGATTTAATTGGTAATTGCTTCAAAAATATCTACGAAAATATTTTGCAAAATTTTCATCGATTTGCCAAGGAAACATTTCAAAATTCGAACTGCTAAAAATCATTTGTCATTATTTGCTTTTATATAATATTATGTTTTTGCTTAAGATTTTTTCTCATATTTTGCGCATATATTATTCTACAGTAGCCTCGAATTTAATGTGCCTGGCTTAAGTTTTGTGTAGAGTCTCAAGTTGTGTAGAGTTTTGGCTGTTAGCCGTGGCGAAGGCAACATGAAAATTTATTAATAAAGGTCAAGACGACCCAGGCGAAGGATATGCTCAAGCAAAACTTCAAGTATGTGGCTGTGTATGGCTCTGTGTGTGTGTGTTAATGGTCATGGTACTTGAAGCCATAAAAGAGCCACAACATGACGCACCGTCAAATGTGAAGGATAATTCAGGAACTAGCCAAAGTTCAAGAACGAAGTTTAAAGAAAACTTATAGATTAGAATTTTACATTGAAAAAGAAGTTATGCATTTAATAAAAAAATATTAATTTAATGTAGCTAAATAACTATGAAAGGAAGTTTTGCAGAACTTATAGATTATAGAATAGATTTTCAGTGTTTTTAGACTTGTTTTGCATTTTTTTTTCTTTTATTATAATTTATTCTATGCAGCACATTCAAATCGCGTCAGCATAACAGCATAAAGAATTATAAACATTCCACAAATATTTTGCCAATGCTTTCCCTCATTCCCATTGACTTTCACTCGCTCGCGCTCTCTCGCCGTATTTCTTTTTGGTACTGGCGTCTGCGCAATATTCTCTTTGTAGACTTTTGTGCAGACCTGAATCACAGGCTGTTGCATTTTTGTCTGAACAAAAATATAAACAAAAGTCCTGGCGCCAGGTAAACAGAGAGAAAGCCTCCAGAGAAAGAGAGAAACTGAGAGACAGAGAGTGAGAGAGGCTTGGAGCAGTAAATTTATCGCAGCTGCGCAGAGCATCTTGTTCGCGCTTCTAGGCTAACGTATTGGAAATGTTTAAAGTTTTCCCTTCGTGTCCTGTGTCACAATATTCTAGGACTCCACTGTGCGCGAGTTAAAGAATTTCGTTAGTCGTGTGAAAAACTGTGCGGCAATAAGTGCTGAAAATGTATGCGAAATAAAACTGTTAATAAAACTGAAAACACACTAAAAATTATCGCAATAATTCACAATAATACAAATTATAAAAAAAAGTTAATTAAATAACAACAATTGGTCATAATATGATCAAGTCAAAGGACTTTGCCTAAGTTAAAATTCAAGTGCAAGCCAGCTTTTTATTTGGCTTTAATCCGGAGTAAAGGTAACCACATCAAGATTACAAACTGTATTTAAAACATTTTACACTTTATTTTATATATTTTTATGACCATTCTATTTTGCAACTCAATTTTTTTGGGGTGTGAGTGGGGCTTTCTTTTCGCTGATGACTCATTCGAGTGCCCAATACTCGGCTGCGCTTTTATTGGAAGTGTGGATTGTGGAATTTTTTCTAGTATATACTCGTGTGTGTGTGTGTGTGTATGTGGGGGTGTGAGGCAACATAACTATAAGTTAGCAGGGTAGCAGGTTAGACCAAACTATTTACTTAAATTGGTAAAAGCAGGAAATGGAAGAAAATGGGAAATTGTTTGAGCGCAAGGAATTGAAAGGCAATTTGAAGAGAAGCAAAAATAAGGAAATGTAAAACAATTAAATCGAAATTGAAAATAAATAGTTCAAGTATTTTATATTTTAAAAGGAACGTTTTTATCTCATGTGTTTGACTAAAAAACAAAAATATTAAGAGTGATCATTTGTCAGTTTATTTAATTATTGTGCCCAGAATTTTAGTATATTTGGTAATAAAAATGTTTATTTAAGCGTTCACAGTTGATAAGAGCTACTCTTTATCACATAATATTTTTAGTGTGATTACAAAAAATAAACGAAAGTTCCAAGGGTGACCATATACTATATACATATACATTTATTCATATAAACATATATGTAATATAAATTAAATTTTGCTTAATAAATTTTTATTTGATATTCATATTAAAAAAAATGTAAGAATTTTCAATGAATATTGTAATGAATAAAACTTTTAGGGTGACTTTAATGTTGTCTTAAAAATGAAATAGCTTATAAGAGTATCACTAGGTACTTCGATTAATTTTTTAATCTTCTACGCAACAAAATTAATCTTCCTTCCATTAAAAATCTACAAACATTTAGCTATATACTTCCTGCCTTTAAATATAACACAGTTCCTTTATAGTCTCAAATGGAAAGCTTTTATAATTATATATCATCAAATAGTGGGTTCTGGAGTGCGATTACTATTTGCCTCTGCAACATGCCACATGCTGCTTGTTGGGTATCAACTGCTTCGTCCCACTGCAATCATATAAATTTGATTCAAACCCCAAGCGGTTTGCATGAGTCACAGCTCACACAGACACAATACAAAGAGTATACAATACACACACACACACACATATACATATATATATACAACCAGACACACAGGCACACAGACACACCCACCAACACAGTTGGGCCAATTATAAAATGACGCTGCCGCTTGTGGTTTATTTATGGGCCAATTTCCAGGCTCGCATAACGTAGCGTTTGCCAAGAGCTAACCCCATTCTATTTGATTCTTCTTCCACTCCAGTTAACCGCAACCTAAGACAAGCCAAGCAGCCAAGATGTCGTCGGTTAAGGTGGCGGTGCGAGTGCGCCCGTTCAACTCGCGAGAGATTGCACGGGAGTCCAAATGCATCATTGAGATGACTGGTGCCACAACGGGTAAGGCAGCTAGGATAGAATTAAAAGATCGACGGAATCATAAACCTATCCTAAACTTTTCTTACAGCCATTACCAATCCGAAGGTGCCACCAAATACAAGCGAGTCCGTCAAGCGCTTCAACTTTGATTACTCCTACTGGTCCCATGATGTAAGACAGCCCCAACGCTTCTCCAACTTTGCCATAACTAATCTCACTCCACTTCTAGCCCCACGATTTGGACTTCTCCACACAGTCGATGGTCTATAAGGACATTGGAGAGGAGATGTTGCAGCATTCCTTTGATGGCTATAATGTCTGCATCTTTGCCTATGGACAGACAGGTGCTGGTAAATCCTACACCATGATGGGTAGGCAGGAGGAGCAGCAGGAGGGCATTATACCAATGATATGCAAAGATCTCTTCGGTCGCATACAAGACACCGAAACCGATGACCTCAAATATTCCGTGGAGGTCTCCTACATGGAAATCTATTGCGAACGCGTGCGGGACTTGCTGAATCCCAAAAACAAAGGCAATTTGCGTGTACGTGAACATCCACTGTTGGGTCCTTATGTGGAGGACCTATCCAAGTTGGCTGTCACCGACTACCAGGACATACACGATCTCATCGACGAGGGCAACAAGGCGCGGTAGGTGTTGACGAGGTGTTTCTTTACCCAGCTTGCTTTATTGATTCTCTGTTCAATCCTTAGCACTGTGGCCGCTACCAACATGAACGAGACGAGCTCTCGCTCGCATGCAGTCTTCACCATTTTCTTTACACAGCGTCGTCATGATACCATGACCGATTTGATCACTGAGAAGGTCTCCAAGATAAGTTTGGTTGATTTGGCTGGCTCGGAACGTGCTGATTCCACAGGCGCTAAGGGCACTCGCTTGAAGGAGGGCGCCAACATCAACAAGTCCTTGACAACCCTAGGCAAAGTCATATCCGCATTGGCGGAGGTGGTAAGTATAATGATTATCTTTACTTTAAAGAAGGGTTTCTAAATGTTTGCATCTTTATCTGCTGCTTTGTGTCATTACAGTCTGTAAGTATATCTATAAACCTTTACTGCTGAGCCGTTCTAATCGCCTCTTTAATTAGGTATCTAAGAAGAAGAACTCCAAGAAGGCAGACTTCATACCCTACCGCGACTCAGCACTGACCTGGCTGTTGCGTGAGAACCTCGGTGGCAATTCTAAGACAGCCATGATAGCTGCCATATCGCCAGCTGACATAAACTACGACGAAACTTTAAGCACTCTACGGTAGGTGTTTACTTCAACTTGAGGTGTTCCTGTAATCCATGTGTTGAATTCCTTCAGCTATGCGGATCGTGCCAAGCAAATTGTGTGCAAGGCTGTCGTCAACGAGGATGCTAATGCCAAACTTATACGCGAGCTCAAGGAGGAGATACAAAAGTTGCGGGATCTGCTCAAGGCCGAGGGCATTGAAGTGCAGGAGGGTAAGTAGATTTATAAATGTATAAATATATATCTCTACTATTACTAAGCTTAAACGTAAGCCCCAAAAACAAAACACTTGAACAACAAAACACACGTGAAAACCCATAAGTTAGTCGTAGTTCTAGTCCTAGTATAGAGTTATGCCTGAGTTCATAAAACCCCAAAAACAAACCCTATTTCATTTAGGACCCGATGGCAAAGTGGTGTGTGAGAAGCGCGATGCGAATAGTAAGTAAAGCCAACTACTCTGAGCTAACCAAACAACAAAAGGCTTCCACAATATATGCATATGACAATATGTCACTTACTCAAACATATAGGCTATGAAGCATAGGGGCATGTCCAGAGCCACAAATTTGGTGCCATCAACTAAAAGAAAAATCAATCTTAGTGGACCACATCCTGGATATGCCCATATGCCTATATAGCCATGAATCTTGTGTGTGTGTAAACTGTATGTAACTTCAGTGCTTTTGTAAACATAAATTCGCTTCAGGACTTATACCATATACCACATATATATACAACTATAACTATATATAACCCATATATATCTATATATATATACTTATGATAATCAATGTTGAAGTCCTCTTTATGTTGCGTCTTATTGTAACCAAATGTTGACACAGTGGAAGATTGGATAAGTTTCTGTATTGTGTAACTGCGATCAAAACGGATCTTTACAAAGTTTCATTTTCAATCGATTGATTCCTGTCTCCCACTGCAGTTTTTGCTTGTGTTGCCCAGTCCAAAAGATTCGGCACATACTCCTTGCAGTCCGCACTGCTCCAGGGCTAGACGTGGACACGCCAGAGTTTATCATCCAAGTCTCACCAAAAAACTAATCGGCAATCGCTTTCTTACCACATATTTTTTATGATACTTAACCGAATACCCTAACTTATCAATGCACGCTTATATCACTGCGCTTGCGGCAATAGATGAATCCGTTGACTCCTACTTATTTTACTATCCCCTCCTTGCAGAGGATGAGCTAAACAAGTCGTCGGTGATTAAGTCGCCGACTAAAGGACGCAATCGCAATGGATCCACCACAGAAATGGCTGTGGATCAGCTGCAGGCCAGCGAGAAGCTTATTGCAGGTAAGATCCAACTGAGGGCAACCGTAGACCCATTCGCTTATAACTGAACTCCAATTAGAACTCAATGAAACCTGGGAGGAGAAGCTCAAGCGTACCGAAGAGATCCGTTTGCAGCGTGAGGCGGTCTTTGCGGAGATGGGCGTGGCCGTCAAAGAGGATGGAATCACAGTGGGCGTATTTTCGCCCAAAAAGACACCACATTTGGTTAATTTGAACGAAGATCCCAATTTGTCGGAGTGTTTGCTCTACTACATTAAGGATGGACTCACACGCCTGGGCACACATGAAGCTAATGTACCACAGGACATCCAGCTGTCCGGCTCTCATATTCTCAAGGAGCATTGCACCTTTGAGAATCGCAATAGTACTGTGACCCTGCTGCCCCACAAGGATGCCATTATATTCATTAATGGCCGCAAGCTTGTTGAGCCCGAGGTTTTGAAGACGGGATCACGCGTGATTCTTGGCAAGAATCATGTGTTCCGCTTTACCAATCCTGAACAGGCGCGTGAGTTGCGTGAAAAGATCACCGAGAACGAGGCAGAGAATGAGGTAGAGAAGGCGGACACACAGCAAGTGGATTGGAACTTCGCTCAGTGCGAGCTGCTGGAGAAACAGGGCATCGATCTGAAGGCCGAGATGAAGAAGCGCCTCGACAATCTGGAGGAACAGTACAAACGTGAAAAGCTCCAGGCCGATCAACAGTTCGAGGAACAGCGCAAATCCTACGAGGCGCGCATCGATGCCCTACAGAAGCAAGTGGAGGAGCAGTCCATGACCATGTCAATGTACAGCAGCTACTCGCCAGAGGATTTCCATCAGGAGGAGGATGTGTATAGTAAGTAGAGGCTAACGATTATTGGATAGGTATGACAATGATCTGCTCCAACCCATAGCCAATCCAATGTACGAGTCGTGCTGGACAGCACGTGAGGCTGGCCTAGCTGCCTG